GAGGTGTTCTCGCCTTCTCTCCATTTATTTTCTTTCGCACACTCACGTCCGAACGCGCGCCGTGTCGTGCGTTTCGAGCAGGGACCAGCTAAAGATCTTTGTGCACCACTTGCCTTCGTTCTTCCACCTGCACATCCACTTCTGTTCGATCTACGCCGACCCGCGCCAGAGCCAGGCCACGCGAGCCCACCTGGTGGAGGACATCATCGAGGCGCTCGAGCGCGACACAGACCACTTTGCGGCCAAGGCCTCCATTACCTATATCTTAGGCGAAAACCATCCGCTGTACAAGGCGCTCTCTAAATGAACCGCACACACGTGTGCGGTGTGTGCATAACTAAAATACTTGAGTGGTAAAAGAATAAAATACTGTCGATGTCGAGGCTGGCTGGCTGACGTCAGCTCGCGCTCGCCGCCACTGGACGCGCTTAGGTGTCCTTGGTCCAGCCCCAGATCTGGCCAGGGAGGTTGTTGGTGGGCATGCCGGTGGCGTTGGCGATCGTCTCCTCGGAGAGGCCGAGACCCTGGGCCATGAGGCTCGGACCGAACGACGTGTTGATGTACCAATCGATCCACGAGCAGCAGGTGAACTGACGCTGGACCTGCACACACGCATGTCGCACACAACGCGGCGTTATATGATAAGTATGGGATGTGTGCGCATGCGCGCGTGCGGCCGGGACGACGTACGGAGTAGACGTGGACGCTCGCGTAGGGCGAGTAGGCGGCGACGTTGAAGTAGTTGTTCATTCTGACCATGAAGTCCGTCACGTTGATCTGCGTGATGGGCACCTTGAAGTTGTAGCGCACGACGTAGTTGATGTGGTTCACTGCGATTGGCCACCATCACAAACACAACACATACACACTTTGTTAGTCTTCTTTTCTCTTTCTTTTCCCTTTTCTTTTCTTTTCTGGTGGCGTACGGGTGGACTTGAGGGTGGGGTCGTTGACGCTGCCGTCGGTGAGGTTGGTCAGCGCGCCGGCGGTCCACGAGCACGCGCGGCCGGGCGTGGAGGTCCACCACGAGGTGCCGTTGTTGGGACCCCAGGACAGCGGCGAGAACTTGTATGTGACCAGATTGCCCACATACTGGATGAACGAGTCGTTGGCGTAGTACGGGTTCCTTTCGGGCGTCTGGTACCACTGGTAGGCCGCGTCGTTGGCGTAGGTGGCCGGGTTGGCCGTCATGTAGCCGTTGATCGAGAACAGGTACTCGCCGGCCGACAGCTTGATGGGCCCGCCCATGGTGGCGCTCACGTTGCCGTACATCCGGTAGGCGCTGTTCCACATCTGGCCGTCCGAGCCGCGGAAGAACAGCACGCGCTGGAACGACACGAGCGGGGTCAGCCAGTTGACCGCGCGGTTGGGGTCCGCGCGGCTGGAGTTCCACACGTTGACGGTGAAGTTGAGGCCATCGTGGACCATGTAGGCCAGCGGTAGCCACTTGTGCGTGTACACCATGTGGAACTCCTTGAGCTGTTGTCGTGTGTCGTGTGTCGTGCGATGGCTCGGTTAGTCGTGTGTGCGGTTGCAAGCCAAACGTTGATACGCGGAGCCGATTTTTATAAACAAAAAGACGAGAAGACCAAATAAGGAGATTTCCTCAGACGGAGACGAATAAAATGGACCAATGCGCGGCGAGGAGATAAAACAACAGGTGGTACCTCGTAAAACGTGTTCTCGGGCACGGAGAGACGCTGGATTTGGAGGAAGGAGTTGCTGAGAGTCGAGGGCTCGCTTTGCTTGTTGCTGAACACACGGCCGGAGCAGTTGTCGACCATGGAGGTGCAGGTGAGGGCTGCCTCGCCGGTGAAGGGGCAGGCCTCGCTGTTGGGCGCGCCCCAGTAGACGTCGGCGTGGGCTGCGGCGAGCGCCAGCAGGGCCAAGGCCAGGATCGATGCCAAACGAGCCATTCTTATCTCTTTCTTTGTGTAGTCGGAGTTAAACTTGCGACGGCCTGCTGCCAAAGAACGAACGACGACGACGAAGAAGAGAGGGTTGAAGAGATAGATGAAGGGTGAGCCAAGTGAGGCAACGAAGCGCGTCGAGTCGTTGGTGAAGGTAAAAATAAATAGAAAAATGCGTCGGAGTGATACAGAGGTCGGGGAGGAGGTGTCCTGACCTGCGTGCAGGGCTGCTGGTCGGTGCGCGGAGACAGCAGGTGAAGGCTGTTGATGTGTTCGGTGACGAAGGCGTGAAAAGAGAACTGGAGAAGTGAACACCGAATGGTCGGTATTTGAGGACGGAGATATATTGTCGACACTTAATAGAGTTTCGACCAACGGGAACCGAGACTGGTCGCGTATCAAAACAACACGCACCGGCGGTATCACTTCTCGGTCGCGCTGCGAGTTGCCAGCGGACACCGTAGCATCGCCTGACGCGAAAAAGCGCGAAGGCAGGTGCTCTGGTGGAAGCCGGCGCTGGTCTGTCGGGGCTGTGCCAATACACCACAACTCCCGGACGACAATAGCACCACATCTCCCGAAGTCGTATCCACCGCAGCGGCCGGTGGGTAGGGGACGGTCGCCTCTGTGGGATCGCACACCGGTGCGTGTGGTCACCATCGCGAGTTCCTGCGATTTCCTTTTCGTTGACTGCAGCCACCTTACGAGCCAGGCAGAAAAAAAACAATTATGAAATACATTTCAAGGTGACAAAACGTAAATTTCGTTTCAACAAACAACAAGTGCATTGCTTGCATATTTTTCGTGGCTGGACGAAATGAACCAATTTTTCCTCTTCTTGTACAACGCCACAGCACTCAGTGTTCTCTTTCTTTCTGTGGGTGACGGTCTCCTGGTCCTTGGACGCGATCCTCTGTGCCCCTGCTCGATACACCCATCCAGGTTAGTATTTTTGCGTCTTTTTTGTCGATTTATCTTGTTTGATCAAGCCCCGCCCTGTGGTTCCATTGTCTCATTTTGTTGCAATTTCGCTCTATCTCTTTCTCGATTAGTTTGGCCTAAGCGGTGACACACAGCGCAGACTATGGCGGCTCTTATTCTCAAAATCCATTTCCCGCCTGGCACTCCATTTCGCACCAAGCTTATGAAATTCAAAGATCCCAAGGACAAGACGATCAAGGACACCATCGAGGAAATAATCACCACCAACCAACTAGGCGACCCCAAAGACTTCCTCTGGTTCGCCCCCTCTCCTCTCTGATCCCCTTTAATAAGGAGAACAAAATCGACTGCTTATCCTCTGACCAGGTACATCCCCGAGAAGTTTGAAAATGAGAGCTTCACACCTGCGCTATGGGGCAAGCCCGAACAGACACTCGACTGCTTCAATCTCGAACAAAAGGTACACGCCAATGCATGTTCCATTCCAGGCCCGCACATCTCCAGCCCAAGCTCCTCGGTAAGATGGAACAGCAAGGCCAGCCCCAGTGCTCACAAAGTGTGGCTGTGGCCGTGGCTGTGCAGGCTATCATCCACCTTCGCAAGAGGCAGCAGGCCAACCGCGTCAAGCACGAGAAGAGGATAAAGATGGTGCTGTTCGACTACGTCGCACCTCTCGAGCAGTCGCTCCCCCTCGTGGCCAAGAAGTTCAACTATGACAACTGGCAAGAGTTCAACCTCTACGTCTCTGGCGAGAAAGAACGTACGCGTGCACGACACACACGCAGCACACAGCGCACGCACACCAGCACACGCACCATCGCACAGCAAATCAGTCGTAGCTGGTGCTGATTGGCCAATCACACAATTGCCTCCTGCAGCGTTGAAGCTGGACCAGTCGCTGTTGAGCCAGGGCATACTGCCCGACACGGTCTTTGCGCTGCGCAAGCCGGACGAGCCTGTCGACCAGGTCATGCATCCCATCAAGCAGCGCATCACCATCTCTCTCAACCAACAGAACCAGGGTACGACACGACACACGACACACACACGGCACTCACACGGCACTCACACGGCACACACACGACACACGACACACACCAACCAACACACGCGCGCTCACTTCTCTTTTCTCGCATGCATGGCCAGGCGGTAAGAAGTTCATGGGCGCCCCGGGCACCCCGTCGAGCTCCCACGCTCAGCCTTCGTTGCCACCTCCCGAAGAGATCATCGCCGCCAAGACCGTCAAACTCAACGTACGCTGCCGTTCGCGACCGAATCTGACACTGGCGGCGGCTGGTACTGATGCTGGTGCTCTTCCTCTTCTAGGCTGCCGCCAAATCGTTCACAAAGCCCATCGCCAAGGGCTACCTGATCAAGCAGAAGGACAAGGGCAAGTGGGAGAAGCGCTACTGCGTCGTCGAGAGCGGCCATCTCTTCTACTACAAAACGCCCAACGTACCGTTGCTACCTGCCCCCCAGCGCAACCGCACACGCACACGAGGCTCACACTTCATTCTTTGCTCCTCTCTCTTTTCGTTCTTTCTTTCTCTCCCCCCCAACTTTGCGGTAAACAGGACGCGAAGCCGACGGGCGTGCTTCCGCTGCGCGAGTACTTCCTCAAGGAGGCCAAGGACGAAAAGAAGAAGTCGGCCGGCTGGGACCTCCTCTCGGTGAAGGAAGTCATCCCGCCCGGTAATCTCCCCGTGCGCCCGCGTCGTGTGTCTGCCCTCCCAGCCGTTCGCTCACAACACACACACACACAACACACACACTCACTCATATTCACACACGACACAGCCGGGCGAACGGTGCATTCCTTCAAGGCCGAGACGGACAAGGAGAAGAAGGAGTGGATGGCCATCCTCAAGAAGCTCACCTCGCCCCTGCCCACAGTTAAACCGCCCCTCTCCTCACAACCATCGATCGACGTGGTGACTGACGATCTGCGCTGGTGGGGGGGGGGCAACACCAACAATAACAGGGACCCGGACCCAAGCCCAGCCCACCTCCGCTGGTCAAGGGCAAGCCGGCCAAGCTCTACGGGCGACCGCTCGAGCAGGCCGTGGCCAACCCGGACGGCTCCGAAATCCCCGCCATCGTGTACAAGTGTATCGCCTACCTCGACAAAGAAGAGAGTACGGCTACCGCCTTTCCTTCTCGCATGTCGCGCGCGCGGGTGTGGTGTGTGTGTGTGTGTGTTGTGTGTGGTTTGTGTGCTGATGTAACACCCATGCCGCAGACGTCACGAGGGAGGGCATTTTCCGACTGTCGGGCAGCTCGAACCTGATCGACAAATACGTGCAGCGGCTCGACAAGGGCGAGGACGTGGACCTGTCCCAGGAGCTGGACCCGCACGCCGTGGCCGGCCTCCTCAAGCTCTACTTCAGGGACCTGCCCGAGCCGCTCATGACCTTCGAACTCTACCCCTGGTTCATCGCCTCCATGAGTACGCCTTTCCCGCGTGTCGTGCTGCGCACGTGTGCGTGTGTGCGCTGACGGCAGCATCGATGCACACGTGTGCACAGGCACGCAGGACAGAGCCGTGCGTCTTCGCTACCTGAAGTACCTGGTGGAGAAGCTGCCGCCCGTGAACATGGGCCTCCTCGTCTACCTCCTCACCTTCCTGCTCAAGGTAACCACACACAACTCGCCTTCGCCCGCACTCACCATCATGAGACACGCACTCACCTTCGCTCGCGCGTGTCGTGTCGTGCGTGTCTGTCGTGTGTGTCTGTCGTGTGCGATAGATTTCCACGTTTGCCGAAGTGAACAAGATGGCGCTGCACAACCTGGCGACGGTCTTTGCGCCCAATCTGCTCAAGTCGCACCAGTCCAACGCGATCGGCATGGTGACCGACACGCCCAAGATCAACGCCGTGATCAACACCCTGCTCCAGGACTACGAGTACGTGTTCGAGGACAAGGAGATCGACCACAGCCTCACGGCCGAGGGCAAGGCGGCCGTCTGCTGCCGGGCGCTGTACGACTACGAGGCCAAGTCGCCCGACGAGCTCAGCTTCAAGAAGGGCAACATCATCAAGATCATCCACGAGAGGGTTCGTTGCCCCCTCTCCGTTCATTCCTCGCATTCCATGCACTCATGTTGTGTGTGCGGTGTTGTGTGTGCGGTGTTGTGTGTCGTGTGTCGTGTGTCGTGTGTGTCGTGTGTGTGCAATGGCCAGGAGGACGGTTGGTGGATTGGTGAGTACAAGGCCGGCAACTTTGGTCGTGTACCCGCCACCTACGTCCAGAAGCTCTCCGACAAGCAATCACAGGTACGCCCGCCCCCGAGCTCTGGGTTCGCACGCGTCCCTCGGCTCTAACACAATTGTTGCGCGCGTGTCGTGTGTCGCGTGTGTGCGTGTCGTGTCGTGTCTTGTTTACAGGAATTCAATAAGAGGCAGCAGTTCAAGCAGCAGATGAAGAGACTCACGGACGAGAAGGAGGAGCAGGACCGTGAGATTCAGATCATGAACGAGCAGCGCGACGAGCTGATGCGGGAGATCGAGGAGATCGAGAACAACCGCAACAAGCTCATGGCCGAGTTCTACCACCTCAAGGAGAGCCTCGCGCCCATTCTCACCAAGACCGTGACCATCTCCGACGAGCTCGACAAGCAGCGCCTCGGCGCCGTCGTCGACGCCACTGACGACCTGGAGCTCGAGCTCGAGAGCGCCGACGCGCCGCCATCATCGGGTGGAGGCAAGAAGGACAAGAAGAAGGACAAGAAGGAGAAGAAGGCCGAAAAGAAGGACAAGAAGGAGAAGAAGGAGAAGGGCGGCAGCGGCAGCAGGAACGGCAGCGGCAACGTGGCCGTCGCGTCGCCGCTCTCGTCGAGCGCCAGCCAACGGGTGGCCGACGCCGACAAGATCCTGCCGCTCTCCGAGTTCCCCAAATACGTCGACGAGTTCCTCAAGGTGCGCCACGGACCCGCGTGTACCATCCCGCGTTCGTTGCTCACCGCACACACCGCACACGCACACCGCACGCACACTGCACACACGCAGGAGAGTGAGGACCATCGTAGGGCGTTGGACGGTGTGGGGTCGACGAAGGACGTGTTCCTGACGTCGCTGGAGATGTTGTCCGGTGCGCTGCCGGTGGCGAAGAAGGACAAGAAGGACAAGAAGGCGGTCGACCCGCTCCGACACTCGATCGACAACATCAAGACCAAGACCAAGGTCGAGGCCTTCACCCGAGCCGAGCTCGCCGAAAGAAAAGACGATCTCCTCCGGTACTGTACTCTCACCACACACACACACACACACACACACACACACACACACACACACACACGACACACGCACACACACACACACACGTGAGAGACTAACAGAACAGTTGGTGTGTGTAGGGATCTGAACGAGCTTCAGCTGATCCTGAAGCTGACGATCAAGCGCGCGTGGACACCGCAGGAGCTGCAAACGCTCAACGAGCGCGGATTGCTCGACCAGTCGTCGTCGTCCGCTGCGCCCATGAAGCCGCTTCCGTCGCCCAGGCGGGTCATCTCCGCCGGCTCGGGGCCGCTGGCCGGCCCGCCCGCCCCGCTCATGGCCCAAATCCAGGGCGCCATCGGTGGTCGTGGTGCCATGATCATGCGACCCGGCCTCGGTACGCCAAAGAAGCCGCACACGCACGACACGACACGACACGACACACGCTCATCGCACACACACTCACGACGCGTGCGTTCACATTGCAGGTCAGATACCACCGCCGTCATCGGGCGGACCGCTCTCACCCGGGAGCGTTCACAGCAGCCCGCGGCAGCCACCATCCCAGCAGCGCTGGGAGAAGCCGGCCCGCAGCATCTCCAGCGAGGCCGACTCCTGAGCTACGCAAGCGATCATGATGGCACGGCAGTGGTGTTGTGCGTCTAACAAATATAGGATAGTGTTGTATTACTTCTGTGCGTGTGCGGTGTGCGTGTGCGGCGTATCGACAACACGGCACACGCGAAAAATAGCCCTCTCGCGATGGACATCAGGCGACGTTGGTGGGGTCCCAGTCGTAGCGTTCGTCGCAGTGGAGGTCGTCAATGGCGGCCATCTCGTCGTCGGTGAGGCGGAAGTCGAAGAGCTGGCTGTTCTCGGCCATGCGCTTCTTGTTCGCGGACTTGGGGATCGGCACCACGCCGTGCTGCAGGTGCCACCTGTTGCGTGCACACTCGTTAGACCCACACACACGCCGCCCACCGCACCACCGCACACACACGTACGCGTACGTACCGGAGGATGACTTGCGGAATGGTTTTGCCGTGGCGCCGGGCGATGGGGTCGAGGTCCGGGTGGTCGATGAGGTTGCCGGCGCCGAGCGGCATGTAGGACATCACCTCGATCCCGTGCGCGTGGCAGAACTTCACCAGCTCCGTCTGCACCAGATGCGGATGGAACTCGAACTGGTGTGGATCGCACACACGTGTGGCGTCAGCAGACACACGCACCGCACACACCGCCGCACGCGCGACACGACACGCACGGATAGAGGGAGGTGCACCTCGTTGACGGCGGGTACGACTTTGGCGTGGGCCAGCAGCTGGCGGAGGTGGTGCTCGGTGTAGTTGCTCACGCCGATGGCGCGGCACTTGCCCGCAGCGTAGAGCTCCTCAAGTGCACGCCACGACTCGCGCCGCGCGGCCTCGTCGCCCTGGCCCGGCCAGTGGATGAGGAACAGATCGATGCTCGCCACTCCCAGCTCCTTGAGCGCCAGCTCGCAGGCCGCCTTGGCGTGCGCGTAGCCGTGGCCGGTGAACTTGGTGGTGACAAAGATGGAGGAGGAAGATGATGAAGGAACTGCAGCGTCAGGGTGGAGGTCTGGGTGGCTTCGCAGGACGGCGCCAACGTCGCGCTCGTTGCTGTACATGTTGGCGGTGTCGAGGTGGCGGTAGCCCGCCGCGAGGGCCTCATTGAGCGCTACGCGGCCTGCGCTGCCCCTCACGTTCCAAGTGCCATAGGCCGGGGCGGGCATCCACGCGCCTGTGTTGAGTCGCACCCCACACTGGGCGAACGACGATGCTGAAGCCAAGTTGCGCTGCGTGGTCTCCATCTTGATATTAATGTTCAACAAGAAAAAGATGGAGCTCTCGTGCCAGATCTTGCGACCTCCAGGAGTTTGTGCAGCCCACAGAACCTTGCCAATCGAGGTCCATTTGTACTGAAACAAAGATGAAAGATGAATGAAAGATGAAGCAGATTTCAACTTTCGCTCTAGGCCTCGTTGATGAAGCTCTTCTTCTTGCCCTCGAAGCCGGCTCGGGTCTTGGGCTTGGCCTTCTTGCCCAGCTTCTGCTCCTTCTTCTTCTCCAGGTAGGCCTTGATGTTCTCCGTCCGCTTCTTCTGCTTCATCTCTTGCCTTTTCTTCTCCTCTGACTCCCTGTCCTTCCTGTTGATGCCCAACCCAACACCCGCACGCACGCGTCAACTTCAGTCTGTGTGCGGCGTGTGCGGCGTGTGCGGTCGTGCGTGTCCCGTACCAGGCAGCGGCGCTCTTCTTCTTCTTCTGCTCGTCGCGCTTGATGCTCTTCTTGAGGAGGGCTTCGTTGTCGAACACCTTCTCGCCCGAAGCCTTCGCCAGCGCCTTCTCCCAGGCCTGCTTCTCGAGCTTCTTCTGCACTCGAGGGTTCTCTTCAGCGATCTCGGCGTCCTGCTTCTGCTTCTTGACCTGCACACACATAGCGTGAGTTGTGTGTGTCGTGTGTCGTGTGTGTGTGCGGTGTGTGCGTGAGTGCGTGAGTGCGTGTGTGGCTGTAGGCGTACCTTCTCGAGGAGCAGCTTACGGTTCTCGTGCTTTCGCTTCTTGGCGAGGTAGGTGGGCAGTGGCGCATCGCTGCCAAAGTCGAGCTGGCCGAACTCCAGCCCGCCGTTCGCCTCCGCCGCCTCCTTCTTGGCCTTGCTCTTCTTCTCCTTGGTCTTCGTCGGCGTAGTAGTCGACTCGCTCTCCTTCTCCACCTTCTTCTCCTTCTTTTCCTTCTTCTTCTCCTTCTTGTCGGCCGTGGCGGTCGTGCCGTTGGCCGCAGCGGCGGGGGCCTCCTCGGCCTTAGGCACGGCCTCCTTCTTGGCCTTCTTCTTCGGCGGCTTCTCCGCCTTCTTCTCCTTCTTCTTCTCCTTCTTCGCCTTCTCCACCTCCTTCGGCTTCTTCTCCGCCTTCTTCGGCTCCTTCTTCTTCTTCTTCTCGGCGGCGGTCTTGTCGGCGGTCTTCTGCTTCTTGTCGGCCTGCTTCTTCTCCTTCTCCTTCTGCTTGTCGTCCTTGGTCTTGGGCTTGTTCTTGGCCTGGCGCTTGTTCAGCACCGCGGCCTTGAGCTCGGCCTCCTCCTCCGCCGCCAGGTTCGTGATACGACCACCACCACCACCGTTGGCGGCGCGGTACTGCTGCGGCTGCTGGTACTGGTCCTCGTCTTCTTCGAATTCCTCGCCGTTGGCGCCGCGCTTGGCCCTGAGCTCGGTCAGGCGGGCCTGCAGCCGCTCGCGCAGCTCGTTGACGCTCTTGGCGCGCCCCTTGGCCGCGCTCAGCTTCACCTCCTTCTCGTGATCGTTCTCGTCGATCTCGTCTTCCTCCTCTTCTTCGTCCATGTCGTCTTCATCGTCATCGTCGGCGGCGCCGGACATCATGAACGACGAGGACCGCTGGCCGTTGAGGCCGCCATCGTCGTCGCTGTCGTCTTCGTCGACGTCGTAGTCCTCATCTTCCTCCTCGTCGTCGCTGTTGAAGCTGATGCCGGCGATGCGCTCCTGGAGCAGCATCTCCTGGATCCGAGGCACCGAGTAGTAGTTGGTCGGGTTCAACTATCACCATCGTTACGTTACATCATCGTCATCATCATCGTCATCCATGTCACCACCACCAACCACATCATCATCACGTAACAAGAAGACAATGTCAATGTCAGCTGAGACTCATGGTGCACTCGTGTGTTGTGTGCGGTGGTGCGTGTGCGGTGCGACGAGTGCGGGAAAGTAGGAGGAGGTCACCTTGGCACGGGCGGACTTCTGGATGGCGTCCTCGGTGGGCGGCTTGGCGCGCACGTCACCGGTGCGGAACACGAAGTACTGCGCGCACGCCCCATGCAATGAATCCGATTAAAAAATCGCATGAAAAAAGGAGATGAAATGGGGCGAAGGGTTTTGGGAAGCGTACGCGCTCGAGATCCTCCTCCGGAGGGAAGTAGAAGGCCGGGGGGATCAACGACAGCATGCCATCGAAGACTGACAGTGATGAGAGATGAAATCAAATAAAATTGGGTTAAAAAAATCTCCAGTGGTTGTGAAGCGAAGGGATCAGAGAGGTAAGTGTACATTGGGCACCATCGGTCAGTCGCTGATTGAGCTCTTCCGCCATCTTCACAACTTCTCACAACGAAACGGAAAGAATGCGATCGGCCAAGGAAAGAAAACGGAAAGCTGTTTTTAATCATTTTAAATTTTGCTTCCGCTTTATTTTATTATTTATCAATCTCATTGCAGAGATGTCGTTCGGGCAGTGGGTGATCGGGCCACCAGGGTCGGGCAAGACGACCTACTGCAACGGCATGTCCCAATTCCTCACCGCCATGGGCAGGTCCCACCCTTTGCCTCTCGAAATTTACCCCCCCAATTCAAATCTCCATCACCCAAAGCTGAACACAACCTTCCATCCGCTGCACAGGAAGGTGTGCATCATCAATCTCGACCCTGCCAACGACGCACTCCCGTACGCACCTCTCCATTGCGCTCTCAGTGGCACAGTGAAGGAAGTTGTTGACATGTAGCTCCATGGGTGTGGCTTGGTGCAGATATGAGTGTGCCATCGACATGAGGGAGCTGGTGTCCCTTTCCGATGTCATGGAGCGGCTCGCACTCGGACCCAACGGAGGTACGGACGGGACCACCGCACCGCACACGCGCCACCGAACGCCGCACCAGTTGTAGTGTTGGCCTCTGCTCATGGCTTGTGCGCGCACCACAGGGCTGATCTACTGCATGGAGTACCTGGAACAGAACATGGATTGGCTACACGAGAAGCTACAGCAGTTCAAAGGTATGCACAGAACACATTGCTTTTTTCACCGCACACGCACACGCACACGCACACGCACACGCACACGCACACGCACACGCACACGTTAAGCTGACAAACCGCACACGACACGGTCAACAACACGACACGACACGACACGCGCACAATAGAGCACTATCTGCTGTTTGACACGCCGGGCCAGGCCGAACTCTACACCAACCACACGAGCATGCGACGCATCGTCGACCACATCCAGCGATGGGGTGTCCGGGTACATTTTTATTTTTTTAATGTTCATTTATTTTATTTTACATTTACATTTATATTATTTCTTCTTTCCCATAACTTTTGTTTCGTGTGTAGGCGTGTCTGTTTAAATTCCTTTTTCGCGCGTGTGCCATTGTGTTGTGTGTTGTGTGTCATGTCATGGTGCGTGTTGTGGACGAGCTCTGGGAGATTGGACCCAATCCATTGGTCACTCTTCCTCGTTCCTCGTCCAAGAGTGAATGTGGCGTTCCGCCCTTCGCGGGGTGGTGCGCCACAACCGGTGTCTGATGACTGCACAGCCGTAGTATTAACTGTGCGGACAGATACGCATCGCACATTTATATGTTTATACTTATATTGATACTTGTATTATTTGTGTATATTTATTATTAGTAGTATTATATTGTAGATTTTGTTTGTGTTATTGATTTAGTTTTTATGACAGCTGTGCGGGCTGCACTTGATCGACTCGTACTACTGCAGCGTGCCGTCGACCTACATCTCGGCCGTGCTGCTCTCCCTCTCGACCATGCTCCATCTCGAGCTGCCTCACATCAACGTCCTCTCCAAGATCGACCTCGTCGAGAAATACGGCAAGCTTGGTACGATACACGCACCACCGCACACACCGCACCACCGCGCGCGCGCGCACGCGCGCGCACGCACACCGCACACGTACACACACGTGCACTCACAAGCAAGCACAGCGTTCGATTTGGAGTTCTTTGCGGATGTGGGCGACCTGGACTACCTGCTGGACCGACTCGACGCCGACCCGTTCGGCAAGAAGTTCGGCAACCTCAACAAGGCCCTCTGCTCACTCATCGACGACTACTCCCTCGTCTCCTTCACCACCCTCAACATCCAGGTACCTTGATGTCTTGTGCGGTGCGGTGCGGCGCGTGTCGTGTGTCGTGTGTCGTGTGTCGTGTCGTGTGGTTGACCGTGTGCGGCGGCGCAGGACAAGGAGAGCGTGTACAATCTGGTGAAGATGATTGACAAGACGAATGGCTACGTGTACGGGTCGTTCATCCCGGGCAACGATTCGATCATGACCCTCATGGAGAGCAGCGCCACCACCTGGCAGTTTGACAAGTTCGCCGCCGTACAGGAACGATACATCGCCAACGACGACGACGACGACGACGATGAAGCCGATCATGATGATAATGATGACATCGAAAGGGAAGAGGGAGACGTCGACGTGGTAGCCGCGTCGTCGCAACGAAGCCAACAAGAAGAGGAAGAGGCCCCGCCACCAGCAACGACTTCGAAGGGGAAGGAGAAGAGTTGAAGATGATGAGGTCCACCACTTCATCAAGGTAATACAAGAAGACCCCGTAGTTGTTGTCAACGTTGGGCTCAGGAGACCTCAAGGAAGGGGAAGTGGCCCTTGGTCCACAGCTTGATGTGCTTCGAGGACGGGTCCAAGATGCCCGACGTCGCCTTCGCGTCGTACGTCGGATTGTTGAACTGCTGCTCTCCGCCCAAGCCCCCCCCCCAAACGTGGTGAGATCGGCGCCAAGCCAGCAAGAAGCGGTTGGCTCGAGAAAAAGGCTGGCGGTGGTGGTACCCGTCCGGTCGAGAAGATGGCTCCAGAGCGACGTCGTTTTCGCGGGCAGCTGCTGCTCGACCAACCGTTCATATTCTGCAGTCATGAAGGCGTAAAGGCGTCAGGCGTGTTGCGTGCGAACACGACGTGCGCGCGGGTGTGAGCTCAGTACCAGAATTACACAGGAAGGTGCCGTAGAGGCACGAATAGGTGGCGTGCTGGATCTCGAGGATGAACTTCTCGTTGAACTCGAACGCCGACGGGAACTGAAGCAACACTGCACACCCCAACCTCAACACATCAGTACAACCGCACACGACCAACGCACACGACACGCCAACGTACGTTGATAGACGCATTCGAGCCACTGGAAGAAGATGGGCGAGCGCTCTTTGTCCTTCTCGCCGCGCCCCCGGTGGCCGATCCTCTCCTCGAACTTGTGTCCGTAGGAGAGCCACTCCTTCTCGATTAGGATCGCGAACCCGCTCTTCGTTCGGAAGTAGGGGTCGATCTGCAGCTCTGCCAGCCCGCACACCTGCGCCGTTCGGTCCCACCCATCACTGTGTGCCACCGCACACGACACACGCCAACGCGCAGCACACATGACACGACACGCAACACAGTGAGATGTGTGCGTGGTGGAGAGGGGGAACGCGGTGGTGATGATGGTGGTGGTGCCTGCAGTGGAAGATGATGGAGGTGCCGCGCTCGAGGAGGCGCACGGTCTGCTTGGCCGAGGAGATGATGAGGGCGATGTATTCGAGCCACGTGAGGGTCTCCTCGCGCTTGCTCAGCCACTGCTCAAAGTCCACCTCCGTCTCCACCGGGCTCGCCTTCGCCTTCTTGGTCCTGCGCTGCTGCGTGAGCGACGCACGACACGCACGACACACGGCGCGACGGCGGGGGGGAACTCACTCGTGAGCCAGGAAGGCGAGCTTCTCGACCTTGTAGAGGGCGCTTCGCATGACGTGGATGTTGCCGATGCCCAGGAACTTCCTCTTGCACTTCTTGTAGTTGCTCATGTCCTCCGTGCCTGCCCACATAAACGTATATGAGCGCGCGCGTGCGGTGGGGGCGTGTGCGGTGGTGCGTGTGCGTGTGCGTGTCGTGCGTGCATCGGAGGCTACGCACCGGCGCCGTTGAGTTGGTTGGCAAAGGCATTGACGCGTGGTCGGGCGTCGAGGAACTGGATATAGGGCTCCTTCTCCTTGCTGTAGGCCTTGCCTGCAAACGCGTCGTGTGCGGTACGTGTCGTTCATGTCGTGTGGTGCGTGTGGTGCGTGTGGTGCGTGCCGTGCGTGTCGTGTTGTCTACAGTCAGATGTTGGGTCGATGCGTGAGAGTGTGGGGGAGGGGAACAGCCGTACTGATTTGTCGGACGCACTCGACGTAGCGTTCGTCCTCGTGGCAGGTGGCCATCTTGAGGCCGCGACGCGGCTGGCTGCACCGGATCAACACCGCTTGCGTCCCCGGATGGCGCCACACCACCGACTGGGCCGCAACCACCCACCCACATACGTTAGCATCGCAGAAGGCCCACACGACACACACGACACACGATACGACACAGGCGCACGCACCTGCAGGCGCCCGCGGGAACGGTACTCGGCGACCACTCGCAGCTGCTCATCCGTGAACTGGGCCGGCACAGCCAACACCCTGCGCGACCACACGCGTGAGTGCGCACACGACACACGACACACGGCATGGCATGGACGAACCTGGGGTAGGTCTTGCAGAGGCCGTAGTCGGCGTTGATGTCGGTGAGGCGCCAGTGCGGATCGCCCTCCTGCCCGAAGCCCAGACGCTCGAGCTCGGCCCGCGCGTCGTACAGCGTCCAGCCGTCGTCCGCGAACCCGCCCTCCTGCGCGTAGAGCGCCCGCTTGAGCAGACACGCCGGCGCGTCGTCGCCGCCGGCGCTCGCCCGGAAGCCCGACGTCAGCTCCTGCAGCCTGTCCACCATCGCCGCGCAGCTCTCGGTCGTCTGGTCGTGGCCCGGCAGCGACGCCAGCTGGATCACGTTGAAGTCCTTGCAGTACAGGTTGATCTTGAAGTGCTGCTTGCCGTGTTGGCCGACGGCCGCTGCGGCCGACGACGCGCCGCCGCCACCGCCGCCAGTGGTGGTGGTCGGAGTGGCGGCGTCGAGGGTGGACTCGATGGCGTCGATGTAGCCCAGGCCCACCTTCCAGCCCTTGGCCAACCGGCGGCGCGACACGGTCTTCCGCCTCGCCCGGCCCTTCTCGTCGTCTGTGGGCGAGCGCGAGTTTAGTCGTGTGTGCGTGTGCGTGCGTGTGTGTGTCGTGTGTGTCGTGTGTGTCACTCCACCCAGAGGGGCGTGAAGGTGCACCTTCGGGCGGCGGAGCGGAGTCATTGTAGACGAACTGTGGGTTGTAGATGATGTGCATGTTGGTCACATAGATCGTTCCCTTTACGGTGACGCACGGAGGAATAGAGGTCAGCCACCCAATCACAGCCACCCAAGTGTGTGTGTGTCGTGTCGTGTCGTGTCGTGTCGTGTCCCAGGGAGGGAAGGGAGGAGACGTGCGAGTTCGGCTCGACCGGTGACGATGTGGGCCATTTGTTCGATTTTCATCACCGTCACTTCGCCCGGTATGAGGTGCTCTCGCAGAAGCGTCGACGGCGATCGCCCCTTGCCTTCGCTCTTCAAGGACTGCGCAAGTGATCGAGCCGTGAGCTGCATACATCACTCGACGCGCAAGCGACACGACACGACACCGCACACGCACCTCGGTGAGCTTGGCGAGGGTGGTGTCGCTTCGTCCGCGCATGGCGTCGTGCAGCTGCTGCTTGTCCCGCGTCTCCTCCTTCTTCTCGGACTCAGTCTCCGTTTCCTCCGCCTCGTCGGCGATCGTCGTCTGCAGCGCACTGTCACATTCGTCAGCCCCTCGAAATGAGGCCTCGAGCGCTAAGCGTCGGATGTGTGCGGTGTGTGGTACTGCCGCGAGTGCGGTGTGTGCGGTGTGTGCGACGTTGGTTGATTGGGGCGAAGGGGAGAATGAGTACTTGATGCTGGAGGAGAGGTTTTGGCTCCGCAGTTTGAGTTCTTCGGCGGGCACGCCGAGCGGGAGGAGCTGGAAGGGCGTGGCCTGCTTCTCGTCCTTCACGTCGGCCACGAACAGGGCGTGCGCGTTCTTCGGATCCTCGCACCTCAGGTACCCGTTGTACCACGTTCTTATGTAATACTACACCACACACACACACACACACACACACGACACACACACAACATGCGCACGCGCAACACAGAATTGGTGGGCTAGTCGCGCGCAAGAGGCCGCTGGTGGGGAAGGGCACCTTCCAGTCCGTGAGTGACGAGGCGGGGACGAGCGCGAAAAGCTGCTGCGAGCCCTTGTCCTTGGCGTCGATCAGAATCTGGCCACTCGTCTCTGCCGTCAAATGTCTGTCGTGTCGTTGGTCGTGTCGTGGTTAGGGCCTGGTCATTGGGGCGTGCGCGTGAGGCGGGAGGCGCACTTTTTGTGAGAGGAGGAGATGGTGCAGCAGTTGCCGGTGGCCTGGATGAGGAAGCACTCCCAGCGGTGGAGCTTGTCGCGGTTGTCCGTCGAGAAGCGGCCCAGCTTGGTCGCGCTCACGATTAAATCCGACGACGCCATCAAAAGCCCGCACTAATTCACGTGTGTGTCAGCGAAACTGCAGCAACACGACAACACGAGCGCTCGATCGATCGCAGGAGATGGTGTTCTAGTTACCTTGATGCTGACATAGAACGTCTCGTAGACTCCGGCCGTGGTCGCGCTGGCACCCAACCGCGCCGACTTCTGCGTGGCGCGACGGAAAGCGGTCAGAAGAGCGAAGGCGAAAGCGATGCGGGCGTCTGGGTGAGTGGAGAGTGAGGCCGAGCGAACCTTGTTCTTCTTTTTGGGGTTGAGGCCCACGTAGGTCTGGAGACAACTGCGGAAAGCGACGCCGCTGCCGCCGTTGAGCAACTCCACCGCGAAGAGCTCCGTCTCGCGCGGCGTGGCCGTATTCCTGTGTGTCGCATTGTTGTTGACCGTTCTTCAGCACGGAGCTTCGTTCACAAAGTCGTCAACAACACCAACGACAAGGGGTTGTGTGGGTGTGTGTACGCAAGGGTCAGGCTGCCGTTCTTCTTTTCCACGCTCCAGTAGGCGCCGCTGGCGGTCTTGAGAGCCAGCAGGCGTTCGTTATCGGCACCCGCGTACCACTCTGGCTTGAAGAGCTGTGGTGCATTCATATCGTACGATTAATATTATTAGGATTAATTTAATGCAAAAAATGAATGAAATGGTTCAAAAAATATACCTCCTGGCCGGCCTTGTGGTCGTTGGCGAGATCGGCGTGGGTGCAGGTGGCCTTGATGCGGCTGCTGAGCAGGCCGCCCTTCACGAAGACGAATTTTCGCGATGCCGCTCGCAGCACGATGCGCGGGAAGGCATTGAGGAATGCGAGGATGGAAGAGGACGCTTCGTCAATCTCATCTCCCTCCTTGACCAGCTTCACCCCAGCCTCCCCTCGTTCGCTATCTAGCTCATCTCCATTTTCGTCTTCTACGTTGTCCACAGTCTTTCCCTTGCCCTTCGCGTCGATGGGTTTCGAGGCATCGCCCACAGCGGCAGCTTGCGCAGATGTAGAGGGGGCAGCGATGTCTTCAATGGGAATTCGTTGCTTGCCGCCATTTTCATTTTCATAAATGACGTCTTCAAACGACGACGTGCGCTCCTGCGAGGAGGACGACGAATCGAGCGAAGACGTGGAATCGGAGAGCGAAGGCACTGACTCCCTCGATCCCGATACTCCCTCCATCCCGTCTGCCTGTTTCCTTCTTGACCTCTTTCTCTTTCTTTATTCTTTATTGTGGGGCACCAGTAGCCGCACAAGCGCACACACCAGCAACCACTACGAATAAAGAATTTGGGAATTCGAGGGTGTAAGCACTGCAAATTCCAAACAAACTTTAATAAATAATACAAAAATGGTTGTTGTTTTCTTCAGCTGGTCGACTCGGCCCGCTGCTTGGTGCTGCTGGTGCGGTCCTTCTTTCGCTCCTCCCAGCCAGCCGGCGACGACGAGTTGGCGCCCAGCCCGCTCGGCGGGTTGATGACGCTGCCCTTCTTCGTGCTCTTCTCCTTCTTCTCCTCCTTCTCCTTGTTATCTCTTTCCCTGTCCCGCTCCCTCTGGTGAGCATGGTCGCGGTCTCTCGGCTTGTCCTTGTCCTGACTCCTCCTCTTGTCCCTCGTCTTCTCCTTGTCCTCCTTCTTCTCCTCCTTCTTCTCCTTCTCCTTGTCGACGCTCTTCTTCTCAGGCTCGCTGTCGTGGTGCCCATTCTCCCGTCGCTCCTCCTTCGTGCTCTTCTCCTTCTCCTTCTCCCTCTCCTTCTCTCTCACAATGCTGTTCCTCCTCTCGCTCTCCCTCCCGCCGATGCTGCTCCCGCCACTCTTCCTCTTCTCCTTTTCCTTCTCTTTGGTGTCTCGTTCGTCGCCTCGCTCTCGGTCCTTCTCCTTCTCCTTCTCGCGCTCTCTGTCGCGCTTGCTGTCCCAGCTGCCCGACGACAGCGCCGTCCCGCGCCGAGTCTTGGCTGCAGCGCCCTCGGCGGCCTTGGTCGTCGCCTCCTTGGCCACCGCCGTCGATGGACGCGTCGCCGCCGCGAGCCTGGCATCCAACCGATCGCCGCCGCTCTCGCCGCCCGTGCTGATGAGATCCGACAGCCGCATGCCCGATACGTCCATGCTGACCGGCCGCACCCGCTTGGCCGCTCGGCTCACCGGCGTCCTGGCCCTGCTGGCCTCCTTCTCCCTCTCTTTCTCCTTTTCCTTCTCTCTCTCCTTCTCCTTCTCTTTCTCCCTTTCCCTCTCTCGCTCCTTTTCTTTCTCCCTTTCTTTCTCTTTGTCTCGTCGGGTGACGGCCGACCCGGACGCCGAGAAGGTGGAATACGGCGATGAAGCGGAAGGTGGTGGGTTCGACGAGGTGTTGGCCCGCGAGCGCGTGCGGACCGGCGAGCTGGTGGTGACGACGGCCAACGCCGACATCTCCTCGCTGTGGATCTTGCGGTCGGCCGCGGTGGGCGACATGGGCATCGCGTCGGTCGCGCTCGACCGCCGCTCCGGCTGGTGATGGCGCTCCCGGGAGCCACTACCACTAAGGCTGTCGACTCGTCCGTCCTCGCGGCTGCCGATCCTGCTGCCCGACTTGGGCCGTGAAGTGGGCTTCGAGGCCTCGCTGTCGGCCGCAGCCGCGGGGGCACCACCGGCGCCGGCCGAAGCCGAAGCCAGCCTGCGCTGCCGCAGACGCTTCAGGTCGGCAATGCGCCGGTCGATCTCTTCGATGGTGAGCGCCTCCTCCTCGTTGGCCGACATCCAGGTCGTGGAGACGGTGGGCTGCGCAGGGTGGTCACCGACCGCCGTCGAACTGTTGTTGCCGTTGCTGCCAATGGCCGACCGACTGCGCTCGCGCCGCACGCGGTCGGGCACCGACTCGGCGCGTGAGGTCTTGGGTCGCACGCGCAGGTGGACCGCGTTGCTCGTCTTGTGCGTCGCGACCGAGGCGCTCATGTCCCCCTCGGCCTTGGCGTTGTCGGCATTGCCGCCGTCGGCTTCTTCTTCGTCGCTGTCGTCGAGCGTGTCGCTTGCCATCCGCTGCAGCAGCGAGTCCAGCCGCCGCCGGGAGAAGTCCATCGACTTGGGTCGCAGCTTGCGCTCGGCCTTGCGCAGCTTCTTTTCGTCCTTGATTTCCTTTTCCTTTTCCTTCTTCTCCTGCCGCGCGCTCTTCTTTAGCTCCTTCTTCATCTGGTTCTTGGCGGCCTTGAGCAGCTTCTCGCGCTCGCGGTCCTCCTTCTTCCACTCATCGAGCAGATGCTTTTTGCGTCGCTCCCACTCCTCGTCGATGGCACCGTTCGGGTCCGTGGGCCGAATCGCGTCTGGCTTCTTGCCCGTCAGGTCCATGCTCATCGGTCGCACCCTGCGTGCCGTGCATGTGCGTGTGCGGTGTGTGCGTGTGCGGTGTGAGCACAAGCGCGAGACAAGAAAAAGGAGTGAACAGGAGAGCGCGCGTACTTGCGGGCGGCGTTCGGTGGCGCCGGTTGGGCCGGTTGCGCTGCGATGGTGTCAAGCTCCATCGACTGGGAGTTCGTGAGCCCGTGCGTGCTCGTAGCCCCGCCGGAAGGCGGCGAGGCGATGATGGCCGCAGAGGAGCCGGCGAGCGTATCGGCCGAGTCGGAGAGCTCGAGCGACGGCGGCGATGGGGCCACGTTGGGCGCCACCCCGAGGCCAGCGTTGGTCGCGTTGTTGGCGTGGTAGGCCGCAGCGGCCGCCGCGGCGAATGTAGGAATGAGGTGGATGCCGCGGATGGGGTTGATGTTGACCACCTCCTTCTCCCTGGCCTTTTCCCTCTCTTTTTCCTTTTCCTTCTCCTTTTCCTTGTCGTCGCCGCGCTTCTTGAGGTAGGCGAACGGGTTCTTGGTGCGGCTCGGCGCGGGCGACGACGACGGCGAAGGCGCGCCGGAGGTCGACGGACCAGCAGCGGCGCCGCCCAGGGACTCGCTGGAGGCCTCTCTGCGCATCATCTCCGCCACCGCCGACTCGTCGTAGGCGCCGCTCCGAATGCGTCGGCCGCTGCTGCCCGACTGTTGTTCGACCTTGGCCGTCGTGGCGTACTCGCCGCTCGATTCCTTCAGCTTTTGCAGGTGCTGTTGCTGCTGCTGATGCACTTGCTGCTTGTGCTCCTGCTGCTCCTGCAGCATCAGCTTCTCGAGCGACGTGGCCACGACCGAGGCGTCGCTGTTCGAGGAGCCCCATGACCGCTGGAGTCGGCTCATCTGGGCCACGTCGACGCTGGAGAAGGTCTTGCGATAGTTCCGCTTCTCCTTGCGCGTCAACTTGGGCGGCATCGGCGGCTCCTCGGCCGCCGCGGGAGGCTTGGCCAATGTATCATCGGCGCTGCCGGCCATCAAGGCGTCCTCCTCCTTGCTGCTGCTGTCCTCGTCCGACTTCTTCCTCTCCCAGCTGGGCGACCGCTTGCTGATGCCCATAGTGTTGAAGGTGCCGGACATGGTGTTGCGCCGGCCGCCGCTGCCGTCGCGTCGCTTGGCCTCGTCGCGCTTGCGCAGGAGAGTGCTGAAGAGTCCGCCGGACTTGCGCGGCGACGGGGGCGATTCGGGGACGGGGCTGTTGCCGCCGCCGCCGGTGACGGCCAGCAGGGTGGTGAGGTCGGCCGAGGCCCGCTTGTCGCGCCACGCCTTGCGGCGACTGCCCGCGGTGAGCTCGGGCGTCGCGGGCAAACTCTTCCACCCGCCGGCGTCGTCAGCGAACTCCTTGGTCAGCGAATCCTCGCCGCCGGCCGCCTGGCCTGACTCCTCGCCCTGGAGGGAGCGCAGCCGCTCTTGGTGGGCTTTGAGGCGCGACTCCCACCGTGACTGGTGGCCTTGCGGCTTGACCCCGGCCTCCTCGGCCATCTCCTCCTTCCGGCTCTGGTGCTCCTTCTCCCAGCGATTGGGCGCCCGCGGGGACATGCCGTTGAGGAGGGCGGCGGCAGGCTGCTTGGGCGCCTCCTTCACCTCGCTGACGGTGTCGAGGTTGCCGGCGCTGGCGGTGCCCTCGCCACCGTCGGTCTTTCGATAGCGCTCGCTAAAGGCGAGCTTCGCTTTCAGCGCCCGCTTCTTGGCCCGCTCCAGCACGAGATCGTTGTGGTGCTCGCGCTTGGCGTTGATGTCCTGCCGCAGGGAGTTCAGTTCGTTGATCCATTCGTCTCGCTCCTGCGTCGACGCAGCAAAGAAGCGAACCACGTCCACCGTGTCCCCGTCGGCCCGCAGCGCAAAGCCGAACCGATTATCTGTTCGCGTTGTTTGTTGTTTATTGTTTCGTGTTAGGACATGGACTACACGGCCTGCGTTGGAAGCCAACACAGAGCGTGGTGCGTACCCTTCAGGTCATCGGGCAGGACGACCGGCAGAAGCTGCACGAGGTGGTAGGAGTTCTTGAATTTGAACACCTCGACGCCGCTCTTCTTCACCGGCTTCGTGTCCACCAGGAGATCGTTGAAGAGGAATACCATCCGCTCCCGTCTCACCTTGTTGTCCTATGAATAACGAGGCACATTCGTGAGACCGCGGCCACGTTGGCCTGGCGCGGGTGCGCGAGGAATTCGCAAGGTACCTTGGCGAAGCCGACAGCGAGCCGACCCTCTCGCACATACTTGCGACTGGGCGCCGCGATCGACTGCAGCCACGGAGTAAAGAGGCGATGACGTCAGCAAGGAGTAGAAACGCGAAGGGGGTGATGATGTGGGGGTGTGGGTGGGTGGAAAGAACGTACGGTCTCATTGCCCAGGAGGCGCGACTGGACGTCGAGCAGTTTGCCGATGCGCTCGGCCTCGCTGGCCTTCTCCTCGATATACTCGGCCACGTCGCTCACCTGCTTGTAGGCCGACGACAGCGCCTGAAAGTCGTTGTGGTCCTCCTCGGTGTGCTTGAGCAGGTCCTTGAGCAGCAACCGGTAGCGCGGGATGCGCTGGATTGGCCGAATGAGGAACGAATTGATCTCCTGATTGCCCACCTCCTCCGATATTTTCTGTGACCACCGACGAGTGTCGTGTGCGATGAGATAGTGTGTGAGAAAGTCGTACGCGGATTCAAGTAGGATGTGCGCTTACCTTGAGCATCTCGAGCACGCGCGGGTCGCTCTTCTTGTAGGTGGTCAGTTCGACCATGGCCTTGTTGTATCGGCTCACGTACTGCGTGTAGACCTTGAGAAAGGCGCTCTGTTGTGTCGGCGTGGGCCAGAAACGGCGTAGGTCAGCGGATTGAGGGGGATCATCACCACCATCAGCACTACTATCGTAGCCAGCGAGAAGGAGGAGAGGCAGCGCACCATCTGTACAAATATGTCGCCAATTCCCTGGTGGGCGCTCCACTTCTGCATCCTCGGTCGCAGATCGTTCAGAAGGTTGCTGGCCACGCACACACACGCACGCATACAACAAAAACGAAAAACGAACAAAGAAGAAGGTGTGAGGCAGCCGCGGCAATGGCATCGGTTCACGGCGAGGCCAACAACGCGTGTGAAGCGGGTACCCGTTGTAGTTGCGGATGACTTGAATGTCGGAAAAGAGGGAGTTGAAGTTGGCCATCGCACTTGCATCCGTCTTCTCGTCTTCCATGCGCTCCTTGAGCGGCTTGAGGTAGTGCTGTTGGAGGCGGTGGCGGGCGAGCGTCGGCATGGAGGTAAGAAGTGATGGTTCTCGCGCAAGGCGTGGATGTGCATGGGAGAAGCGCGTAGAGGGAAAGTGGAGCGCACCTCTATCACGACGTTCAGGTTTTTTACATAGTCCTCTTCCGTTTTTTCAATCTCACGAGCGACGTTGGCCCGGTAGATGGCGTTCTCCTCTGCACACGGAGGGAGATGGAGATAAAGATGAATCAAAATGGTTTTGTGATTAAGGAGGAGGGCGGTTGAGTACTTCGCTTGACCAGCTGGCGGCGAGCCTTCCTCCCTCGGTAGAGCGATTGGACTATGACAATCTTCTTCAGGTCGCCCGCGGTGGGGCTGGAAGCCCATATGAACCTCGCTGAGAACATCTCGAGAGCGGGTAGCCTGGATGCAACCCAATTTTTACAGATTATTATTTACACCGCCTGGCCTCCCTCTGCACCTGCTTCCTCTATCGGAGGAGTTGTGAGGGACGGTGTGGCGGGTCTGTCAGATGCTCCCTCCCTTGGCGACGTCGGGCTCTTTGTTCAAGTGCTGTTCGCCGCTGCGTCAACGGTGCGCTCTTTTTGCTTGGCCACCCGTCGCCACCTGCGATAAGGAAATTCAAGGTCTTTGACCAATCGCCGCCACCACACCATCCCCGGACGACCCTCGCCGAACTCAGTTGGGTTCCGTTTTGGCCTCTCAGACTTCCCACCGAGGGCTGACGGGGCGTTAGATGGGGCAAAAAGAAATTGCAAGATGATTTTGTTCTTGAGATGGTCGCCGTCGCATTGGAAAAGATGAAAATGGGAAAATGGAGTAATCGCTCCGCTGTCAACGAAGAGGCTTTTATGGTTTTTGATCTCGGAGTAAAGCAGTTTACTGCTGCTCCTCGGCATCCTCCTTGGCCCTGGAAGCGGCAAGACGCTGGAGCGAGACGACGTTACCCATCTCCTCCCTCTTCTTGAGCGCACGGCGGTGGGTACCGATCTGTGATTGCGGGGAAAAGAGGTCAAAAAATTGAACAAGAACCATAAAAATCAATGATGAGGCTCCGCAGAGGCGGAGTAGAAATGGGATGGTTTTCTCACCTTCCTCTTGGCGAGCTTGAGGGCACGCTTGTCAAGACCGACCCTCATCAACTCAATGATGCGCCTCTCATAGGGGGCATAGCCGGAGACCTCACGGATGACCTCACGGACGAACTTGGTGCGCTTACCAATCCTCTGCAAGAGTCGGCATAACAATGATTGAGTGAGATGGAGCACTGACCGAGGCACACGGAGCGTCTCCGCGCATCAATGCGAAACGTGTAGAGAAGATTGAGCGGGGGGCGCTGAGAATTTTACAGCGTATTGCCTCCGAAATCGTCAAGGGGATCGGGCGTACCCTGACGTCGGCCGTACGGATCTTCCTGGTCCTCTTAGTGACGGGGAAGCCCCTCTTAAGACCACGGGCAATACCGAGGGGAGTCTTGATGGTGAGGTCCTGAGTGGGCTTCTTCTCCTTGCGGACCCTGACGGGCTTGGCGGGAGCGGCCTTAGCGGGGGCCTTGGCGGCGGCCTTGGCAGGAGCCTTGGCGGGGGCGGCCTTCTTCGACGACATGTTGCTGGAGAGAGGGAAAGAGACCGAAGAAAGGACTGCGGCCGTGTGAGGGGTGAAAGAGTAAAAAAGAAGGAAAGGAGGCGGAAGGGCCGACGCCCACCCATAACCCTCCGATATGCTGTCGACACTCGCCTTTCGCCACCTTAAACAACCGAGAAAAGTGGAGGAAAATGAGGTTGACGCCAGCCGAGGAAAACGGACCCAAAAAAAAAGGCGCCAAAGGGCTGGCGTTGCGAAGATCGAAGATTACCATCTACACCTTCACCTTCATCCTTTGGCAATCTCGAGGGCACAACTGACATGACGAGTCGAGGAGGACAACGCAACGCGCGAGTAAGTTCGCGTGTGCAGGGTGGAGGGTGGGGCGGTGGCCCCAGTGTGCGGCCATCACGCAAGCCGGCCGTACCTGGCGGCGCAGCTCCGGACAGCAAAGCAGCATCCACGGCGCAAGCAGTGGGTGTGACAATCGCCAAGGAAAATCATCCACCCGCCCAGCTGCGCAATTCTGGCACGAATCTGCAGTACGTGAGCACGCCAAAGCACGGAGTTGCCGACGCCAAGGCACTTGCCGGCGGCCATACCGGCAAAATCAAGGTTCGGGACGGCATCGTAGTGTTGCGAAACTTCCTCGACGTCGAGACGCAGCGATGGCTGGCCGAGATCTGTTTCTCGATGGGCGACGAAGCTAGTGGGGCGCAGACCGGCACCACTGGGTTCTATCAGCTCAAGAAATCGGACAAAGGTGCGTCTGTTCTCCCTGTGACACTCGAACAATGGGAAGTCACACAACCTGACCAGTCGGGACTGTAGGGAACGGGATGTTCAAGCTCAACATGGGCACGCGTGGGCGCATGATAGATTCCACGTCCTCCTTTCCTCCGCGGTACCTACACCCCAGCACTGCCTATCTGAACACACAGCGGCGGCTGTTCGCTCTCTGACGTCGGAGGTGCGTGAACTCTCAGGTTTGCCGAGCTCTGTGTGCAGTGTCTGCGAGCAGCGCAGGAAGTGGACGACACCATGCCCGACATGGAGCCCAATACCAACCTGATCAACTTCTACAAGCCCGACGCAAACTTCAAATGGTAACCAATGCTCGTGCTCTTCTCTGCGCGCCACGTGTGGTCTCACCGCTCAAACGACGCAGGCACAAGGACAGCGAGAATCCGCAGCTCGTGAAGGTCGGCAAGGGCAAGCCGGTAGTATCGTTCTCTATCGGCCTCTCCTGCGACTTTGGCTACAAAGGTAAGTCGTGTGCCACACACACTAGCGGGAGCCAGTGCCGTTGCACGGTTAACCAGATCCGTCTCTTTGGCTTGCAGATCACTACGAGAGTGAGGAGCACGAGACCGTGCGGTTGGACTCGGGGGACGTCTTCATATTCGGTGGTCGCTCGAGGATGATTGTGCACTCAGTGCTGCGAGTCATTCCACACACCATGCCCGGGTACATGCGAAAACACATGCGCGAGGGAAGACTGAACATCACTTTCAGGTACGTGCCTGCAATTGCCAGCATTGCTGCTGCAGACAACAAGGGCCTTTCGCTCAGAAGTTTACGTTTTCCCTCATCTACACAGGGAAGTGGACGGCTACCTGGACCCCACGCAGTTCCCGCGCTACCGAGTCACCTATGATATAGAGGACACGGGCAACGGTTGAACGAGCGTGATCTCCTTTCTCCTCCTCTGTATCAATCAACGCTAACATCACGACAATGCCACATAGTTTCTTTGCCCCCTTTCACGACGTCATGTTCTTCGGGTTTCTGCTCTTCTCCTTGCTGCTGCTCGCACTTCTCAGCGACGACGTCGAGCCCTTTCGGGGCGATTTGTCGGACATCGATGAGGCCGAAGACGTGGAAGAGGCGCCGCCTCCTTCGCTGTCGTCGCTCAACACGACCTGGGGCACCGTTCTACCACTCGATGCGTGCGAACGAGACGACGATGACGAAGACGAGGACTGAGGCCTGAGGCTGTTCGACTTGCTCGAAGCGGAGGCATCCGAATCGCCCCGGGCTCTGTCGTGGTCACGATCCGGGGACCTCCTCCGGTCTCGCTCCCTGTCTCGGTCTCGGTCTTGCGATTTCCTTCGGTCTCGGTCGCGGTCTCGCTCCGGTGACTTCTTGCAATCCCGGTCTCGCTCCCGGTCGCGCTCTCGCTCCTGCGACTTCGTTTGGCCACGGTCGCGGTCGCGGTCGTCGGTCTCTGTCCCTGTCGCGCTCATCCTGTGGTGTGACGTTTAGTGCGTTGCGTGTCGTGTCGTGTAGCCATGAGGCGTGGTCTTAGCACCTTGGAATCACGCTCCTTGTCGTGAGATCGCTCGCGGTGGGTGCCTCGGCTGCTGCTGCTGCTGTTGCTGGTACTCTCCCTCGATCGCGACCGCGCTCTCAAAGACGACGACCCGGGGTCAGGGGAGGTCAAACTCAAGAGCGCCGTCGAGCCGGCCATCGAGGACAAGGGCATGTCCACCATCGAGCCCACGCGACGCTCACCCACAGGAGTACCGAGCTGTTGTTGTTGTTGTTGTTGCTGCTGCTGCTGCGAGGGTCCACTGAAGCGGGCGAGCGACGAGGCGATGCACTCGCGCAGGAGGGTGGCCCAGGCCTGCTTCTCCTCGGGAAGTGACGTGTAGAACACCAGCGAGCCCTCCTGCCCCGGCTCTCCCGGCGAGGTCAGCTTGAACGCGTTCTTCAGATCTGCATACGTGCGCCGCCACTCAGCTCCGTCAGTAGCCGCACACGCACACGCACCACCGCACGCACACGTGTTTGCAGAACGACATGTTGAAGAGAGTTGTACCGAGAGAATCGGCGACGTCGTCGAAGCGGGTGACGGCGAGGTTGAAGAAGCGCTTGAAGTGGTAGAGCTTGCCCATACGCTTGGGCTTGGTGGCGAGCAGGACGTCGTTGAAGAGGAAGAGGTACCGATAGGCCGACTGCTTCCTGCTCGTGGCCGCCAGGATCACGCCCTGCTTCTTCAGCTCCCGGTCGGGCTGAATCAAGCTCTACACCACCGAGTAGTAAAGGTACGACACCGCACACGCACGCACACACCATCGCACGCGCATGACGTCAGAGTGACGTCAGCCTAGGAAGAAGGTGGGGGAGCGGGTGCCTTGGCATCGGGGTACTTGAGGATGAGCGGGACCATGTTGACCAGCTGACGCTGCGCCTCGGCCTTGCGCTTGGCCTCGTTGAGGTACTTGGCAGCCTGCTCGATGCTGTCCTTGGCCTGCACGAGGTCGCCGAGATCCGGGCTCGACTGCACGACACCACCGCACGGCACAGCACGACATCAGCCAGCCGTGCATACAGGCGAGCGACGCGGCCGTGCACGCACCTGCGGTGTTGACTGGATGACGTCGCGCAGCAGAAGCTCGTAGCGCGGCACGCGCTGGATCGGCTGTTGACAAATTGGTGAGTTTGGCTCCGAGTCGTGTCGTGTGTCGTGTGCGATGGGGGGGGGGAAGTGTGCCTGGATGAGGAAGTCTTCGAGGCGGAGCATCTTGCAGTCGGGATGCAGGCGCGTAGCGTTCTCGAAGGTAATCCACGGCGACTTGTCCTTGAGCCGCCTCAGGATCCGCATCGCATTGTCGTAGTTGTTGATGTACCCACTGTACATCTTCAACCAATTCGCCTGCAACGCCGCACACATATGCAATATATAGATATTTCTCGAGAGATAAATGCATATGTATAAAAATGATATGTGTCATTCGGTACCAGCTCGATGAACATCTTGCCGAGCTTGACGTGATTGGGTGACTGGAGCTCAATTTCCAGGTCGCGCAGGAACGTCGTGTGCAGTGCGCAAATGGTCTTGATCGACGAGAACAGCCTGCAATATGCGGTGACACATACAGCGAGGTTGAGTCTCGAGTGTAGTGTTGTGTGGTGTCGTGTCGTGTGGTGTCGTGTCGTGTCGTTTTGTGCTGTGTCTCGTCGTGTGTGTGCGTCGTGTTAACTCAACGGACCCTTTGAGGTCGTCTGCGGACAGGTTCACCGATTTGACCTGTTGCTTCTCCAGCGGCTCCAAAAAGAACTGTTTACACACTCTCACGCCAGTTCACATCGTATTGAGCTCCCAACGACGCGCAACGACGCGCGACGACCAACAGCTGCGCAGTACCGTGACGGTGAGTCCGATGTTCTTGACGTAGACCTTCTCGGTCTGGAGGATCTCGTTGATGATCTGCCGCCGCTTGATGTAGGTACGCTGCAGCCTCTCCCGCTCGGCCTTCTCGGCTTCGGTCTCGCGGACGGTGGCCGCCCCGGTGCGTCGGCGCAGCGTCGGCATGACCGACCGCCGGTTGCCCTGCTCGTTCTCGTCGCGCGTATCGATCGCCATCACCACCTCTTCCTCTTCCTCTTCCTCCTCACCCTCCACTGAACCCGCAACAACAGCGAATTGGCAACAACAACACACACATGTGGGGAGACGAAGGGTGCGTACCGGGGACGCCGAGGTTGTTGATGGCATCGTCGGCGAACTCACGGACCTCGCTCGAATTGGCCTTGCTCAAGCGGGCGAACAGCGCCGCGCTTCGCTCCGACTTCAAGTTGCGCCTGTGCTTGTCTGTACGCGCGAAGCAGGCCCAGCGCACACAACACGACACACACGCGACACGACACAAACGTTAAAAAAAGATAGGCGGGGAGCGGGGGAGAAGGTCCGAACCGAGCAGGGTGAGCTTGACGCAGATGGCGAGCAGCTCGGAGAGGAAGTTGACCTCCTTCTTGTCGACGGTGGCGGGCGAGATGGACTCCATCAGGCCCAGCAGGATGGGAATGCCGCCCGCACGACAGATCTCATCCCGCACCTCGACTGGAACCATGCGCGCGTGTCATGTCAGCAACTGTGTTGTGTGTGTGAGTGTGTGTTGTGTGTTGTGTGTGGGTGCAGCACCATTCTTGGAGGCGTTCAGGAGGGTGGACACCACTTCGGTGTGGAGCTCGCGGTTCTTGCTCTCCACCAGGAGATCGATGATGTTGATGATCGCGCGCTGGCTCACAATCACTTCCTGCGCCGTCTCTGTGCGAACATGTGTGTGTGTGGAAAGGAAGGTCAACATCAACGCGCACACAGGGGCTGGGGCGTGGAGCGACGAACGGTCGACGGCCAAGTTGCACAGGACTTGGGCGATGGCCAGTTGCATCTGCGGGTTGCTTGTGGCGCGCAGCAGCCGCATCAACCGGTTGATGGCGTGCCTCGCCACCAGCTTGCGCCGCACCTCCTCTGCGATGGCAATGGCAAGTAAGCTACCAACCGTGTCGTGTAGCGCGTGCGCGTGGGGGAGGAGCAGGAGTACCAGACATGGCGCTGAGCATGAGGAGCACGTTGACCATGCGCAACTGAATCTCGGCGCTCGCGCAGGAAAGCAGCGCGATCACGTTCTGGAGCGCTCCGCCCTGCTGGACCTCGCAGAACAGCTTCTGCGCATTCTCTGTTCGTTCAGACACGACACGCACGACAAGACACACGCACACGACGCACACACAGTCGTGAGCTGTTGCATCGAGAAGGAGTGTGGTGGGCTTCGGTGGGTACCCTCGTAGAAGAGGTTGGTGAGCGCGCGGGTGGCCTGTACGACGACGCGCTGACTCCACCTGAGCGCATCGGCCGGGATCTCGCCCACGGCTAGGCTCGCCGACGACTCATAGTCTAGCAGGCCCGCCAGCCGGGTCACCAGCTCCTGCGTGCGGCCCAGCAGCGATCTGTCGGGCACCGCGTCATCAAACTTGTCTACAGAGACCATCACACCACCGCGCCGCTCGGTCGGCAGCCGGGCGTACCTGTTCCTGGGGTGTCGGGCGAGGTTGAGGACAAGCCAGAGCACCTTCTCCACCACGTCGTCGTTCTGGGCGTCCTGGAGGAGCTCGACCAGCGCCGCGATCATGCCTGGGGTCTGGCATACCTCCTCCTGCGCTATCGCTGCGAACGCGACATTACTAGTTTAATGTCGTGTGGCATGCGTTGTGCGTGTCGTGTCGTGCATGCGCAGGGGGGGGCGTACAGTGCTCGCTGGCGAGGTTGGAGAGAGCCCACACTGCAAGCATGCGCTTGACGTCCGGGAAACTCGGGTGGAGCAGCTTGAGCAGCTCTGGCACCACGCCCAGCGCCAGCGCCTTCTCCTTCCACGCAGCCGTTCCTGCACGAACACGATCACGCATCCATCGATCAACACAGCGACACGACCCAACGCAACGCCACGGAACGCAACACGGCACAAAACGCATCGTCAGATCTGTTGTGGGTGGAAGGTTCGGGGGGGGGGCAAACCATCAGCTGCGGTATTGATGAAGATTCTAAGGTAGACCTCGTGTTTGGGGTCGTCGTGCCGGCCGAGATCGCTCGCCAGCCTCCGTAGGCCCTCCATTTCGATACTCCCACGAGATCGAGTTAGATGGTGGCCACCACAACAATTACAATAAACAAATTGTTTGTTTACAGAGCGACATTGTTGGCGAGTACCAAATACAAAATTTATCCTTATTTGCACTTTCAGAGAGATATGGCAATCAAGATGAAGGTGCAGAGGAGGAAGAGGAGGAAAGGAAGCCACGTATGAGGTTGATTACTCGGAGATCCTCCTCGCGAAGTGGCGATGCCCTCCCCTCCACATGGCTCGCTACGACTTCCAACTGTGTGTGTGTGTGTGTGTGTGGCGTGGGGTGATGAACGGTAAGTTGGTGGAATGTAACAAGCCGCATCGCAGCGGCAGGGTGGCTTACTGTGCGGCGGACATCGGCGAGGGCGGGCTGGTAGGCCGGCAGTGGGGCGAACCGCACGACCTGCGGTAGCAGAGAATCGACTCGTTCCGCGAGTGCGCTGATCACGGCCTCAGTCGCTTGCCCGACAGGCTCAGCTGTTGCTGCGCCCACTGAGTCAGTGCACACACGACAGCACGCACGTGCGCACACAGATCAATCGGGGGGGGGACGTACCGCCATGGGAAACAATGGCAGCAAGCACAACCCACACGGCCAGATGGATCGGCTCGTCGCCTGAGTCCTGCGACTGGGACAGGAGGCGCACGAGAGACACCACCAAGCGAGCATCTGTCCAGCAGTGTGCGAGTGAGTGTGTGTTGTGTCGTATGCACGGTCGTACCGATCAGAGCGGCCATCTGCTCCTCGTTCAAGTAGGCGAGTGTGTTGGCAAGCAGCAGCGTGCATATCTTGTGCACGTCGTCCTCATCGACCTCAGTGCGAAGCCACTGCACAGCCACTGGCACGAATGCGTCTGCGCGCCGCCGATAGTAATGGTGCCACACGTGAGGTAAGCAATGCACAGAGTCGCATGCGAATCAACAAGAAATGCTGGTTGGTCGAACCGGCCATCTTGCGCATCACCCGCTCTTCGGCGACGCCGCTGGTCTGGCCCGGTTGGTTCTCGGGGTGGACGGCAAGTCCCGGTCGCGACAGCAGCAACTCCACCACTTCCCACATGAGGTGTGCGATCTTTTCCGTTATTCTGTCCTGCACCACACACACACACACACACACACACACACACAAAAGAGTGCGGTGAGCCAACGTGAGTCAGGTCACTACTAGAACTAGAAACGCAAGTGCGTACTTCTGGTTGGCCGAGCTGAGCGCCCAGTACGCCCAGCATGTCGTGGTCCCACACGAGCTTGGTGGCGAGCTGACCGCCCATGTAGGCCAGCGCATAGAGCAGCTCTGCGCACCTCTGGAGCAGAAGCTCGCTCATGGAGGAGCGCAGAATCCAGGCCAGCTTCGCGATGAAGTCGTCATCCAGGAGCGAGGGCGCCCACGACTGCTGTCCCTCCGCCGTGCAAACGCACGCAGTGAAGCACCTGGTCACCCGCCACATCACTAAAGGGTCAGGCTGTCGTGTGTGTGGTCACGCGTGACTTGGGCTTGCGTATGTACCTCGCCAGTTCGGCAAGGGTTGGTGGGTCGTCGTTGGTCACCCACATGCCCACCAGCATCGCCTGCAGGTCTTGTCGGTTCAGTGCACTGAAGCGTGGCCGATAGCGTCAGCAGATGTGCTACATCATGGTTCGTGCGCGGTGATGTGGAACGAACCTACTTCGCACAGAGCCAACATTCCCAAGCACGCCTACGATGACTTCCTGCAGCGATCGCGATTGTTGTAGTAAGTGGTGTCCTACAGTGATGGGGGTGAGGAAGGCGCACTCTGAACCGATGGGAGTGAGTGGGGTTGGCGAGAATGCGCAGGAGGATGGAGAGCAGCTCGTGCTTCAGCATGAAGTCTACGAACTGTCGCAGAGGCAAGCCGAGTGTGAGTAACGTCTTTCTTTGTTGGCCAAGCACTAACGAATGCTCGCACCTCTGCACTCGTGGCAATGTCCCAAAGGAAGCACCTGCAGGCCAAGCAAGGCGTACGTAAGCAGTTGGTGTGCGGATGGGCGGTGATGGTGGCGCACCCTAACTCGATCTCCTCCGTTTCATCTTCCTCCTGCACGACTTCACCTTCGCGCACCAGCCGAAGCTTGTCCTCCTTCTCCACGAGCGTGATCAAACAGCGCAACACGTAGCTGATTTTGCACCACAAACAAAATCATATGGTGAAAATCAATAAAGATGAAAGGAGAACAACAGGGCAAGGCACCTGGGATCGATGACCGAGTCCGGGTAGGTTTCGGCTGCGCCTGCTTCCATCTTAGCTGGCGTTTGTGGCTTTGCTTTTCGCGCCAATCGAGGAGGGAAAATCTTTTCCTTTCAAATCGCTCGAAACTATACTCGCATCATGCTGCGTCAGCGGAGGACGCTGATTACCTCTCGGCCAGTTGCACTAGCGTCGCTGTTGGGGCGGCCATCTGCAGCTGGCGCGAGGGCGCTGGTTCGCCATGGGCAAGCCTTTTCCACCAACCGCAGCACCGCCTTCTCCTCATCTCGCTGGAGAAGCCCCCTGCTGCTGGCTGCCGTCACCGCGATGAGTGCCGGTGCCGCCTTTGGATTGCATCGTCATCGCTCAGCTTTCGCTCTGCGTACCCTTCCTCGAATCCATCCCCCCCCCTTCAAACACTGTACAGTGCTGACGTGCACCACTGCAGAGCCTCAGCCTGGCACAGAAGCTGAGGAGTATGAGGACGAGGGCTATCAGCGCTTACTCATGGGCCTGATGGACTCTGCCAGGGACGATGGTGAAGATGGCGAGGGCGACCTGGCCGACGCCATTGTGTTTGAGCCTGAGGTGGGTGGTCCTCTCCCTCTCTACTCGATTGAAGCGTGGCACTGATAGGGTCATGTGCCAATGTAGGAAGAGGTAAAGGAGGAGGAAAAGGAGAAAGACGAGGAAGAGCTGCTGCCGGCATCTCGCGTGCTCGGCGCCGGGCGAGCCAAGATTGCCAACGAAGAGGCCGAAGCTCGTCGGCAGCAGCTGGAGGCCCACCTTCACGAACACATACGCTCCTGGCATGTCATTCGCCCCTTCTGTGGCTATCAACACGATGGCTGACTTCGTTTTTGGGTGATCTCCTCAGGGCCAAGTTCGAGAAGGTGTGCTCGCAAGGTGGCGGCGATGATGGTGAAGAAGGAGAAGAACAAGACAAGCCACACGCTGGAGCAAAGGTATTCGCCACTTGCGACGTAAGAAAGAGAGAGCCTGTGTTGTGACACATCGGGTTGCACAGGTGGTGCTCAGGTACCCGCCGTGGATGCAGCCGGGCGAGTCCAACGAGGTGGCCCAGTTCACCATCCTCGGCGCATCGCCCCACGGCCAGAAGGACGGCGTCGTGGACATGCTCACCATGCTGACCACCACCCCTCCCGTCCACCGTACGCACGCCCCCTTCCAATCCGGTCGTCACGACCGACCGGCCAAGACTGAGTGCTGACGGCACTGGGCGGGCAGGCATGCGTGATCTGTATGAGTTCCACCGGGGCATACGAGACGAGATCGGGAAGCAGGCGCGCATCGTCAAGCCCCGCATGCGTTGGCTGGTGGCGGGCCGACCCGCTCTGGGCTTCGTCACCGCCTTCACCGGCTGGGGCAAGACCCTGGTACGTACATCATGGTGACGATGATACACGCTCTCTCGCAAGCAACACTCATTCGCTCATATTTTGTGTCATGCTGTGTGTCGTGTTGTGTGCGCACACGGTGTCACAGGTGTCGACGTACGTGGTCACGGCGTACAACAAGACGGGCTACGTGTTGGTGTTCAACACCATCCACGACGGTGAGGCGCCGCTGCCGCAGTGCTTCGCACGTCACCAGGAGGAGAGCGACGAGGCCTTCGAGTACATCCTGCGCACCGTCACCTTCCGCCCTGCCCCTCCCCCGTCTCCTTCTGCGTCCCTGCCCTCCTCGTCCTTCTTCCTCTCCGCCTACGAAAAGACCAAATAATTACAAAATGAGTTTGAAAAAAATCAAACAATTAATGATTTTAAAGGAAATATCTCCGGAAGGACAATATTTTGTGGAATGCAAGAAATGGCGCTGAGGTGGCACCAGCCCGGAGAGACCTCGAGTTGCTTGTTGTCAACACTGCCGCCCACACCATGCACGGAGGAGGACAAGTGGGGACACTGCAGTCTGGGGGTGAAGGCGCGGCGTCGCCCGTGCGATCTCGTGGTCCTTCGCGCACTGTGTTTGCCGTCGAAAATAATCTCATCTCATCGTCTTCAACCTCCACTCCATCCACTTCTGCGACATTGCAGAACACATCGTCTCCTTCACATCACAAGCTCTCGTGGCGATCACGAAGAGGAAGGGTCACTTCCATGGAAAGCCAAAAGAGAACCATGGTCAAGTTAGATGCCGAGGCCATCCGCCGAAGCGATCACGCCAACATGGTCCTTCTTGTTGTACTCTGTACGCCCCCACTCTTTGTTCTTTTTAACCTTTATTATTATTTATCAATTCCTTATATTCGGTCCTTTTTCTCACTTTAGGATCAACAATGATTTATTATTATGTTTTTTACTCTATGCTACGTGGCATGCGCGCAGACATGTTGCAGGGCGTGCCCATGGGCCTGGTGATGGGTTCCATCCCGTTCCTGCTGCAGAGCAAGCTGACCTACACCGAGCTGGGCATTTTCTCCATCGCCGGCTATCCCTACGCCCTCAAGCTCTTCTGGTCTCCCGTTGTCGATGCCTGCTACTCAAAACATATCCTTTCTTCCTTTTCTGCTGCGTGTCATGCGTGTGTGCGATGTGTGTGTATGTGTGTGTGTGTCGTGTGTCGTGTGTTGTGTGTTGTGTCGCGTGCTATGCGTGGTGCGTGTGCGTGTGTGTTACCCTTAATTCTAAAGTACGGTTAGGCAAGCGAAAAAGCTGGATCATCCCCATACAGCTGGTGGCCGGCCTCATGATGTACATAATCGGGCTTCACGTGGAAGAGGTCTTCGCGCGGCCCGAGATTCCAGTCTATTTTGTCACCTTCTGTTTCCTGTGCCTCACCATCTTGGTCGCCACCCAGGACATCGCCGTTGATGGTACCCTCCCACCTCTTTCTCACTCCACCACCGCCAGATCCTGTTTCTTTCTTTTTTTATATATATATATTAAAACTCACCATCACGACTGGCCAGGCTGGGCACTGACGCTGCTGTCGAAGCCGATGCGAGGCTGGGCTTCCACATGTCAGGTACCACTTTATACTCAGTAATCACATCATCTACGCGTCCGTTTGTATCATCTGACTCTTTATTCTTCTTTATCATCATCATCATCATCTTCAAGACGATCGGCTTGAACAGCGGGTTCTTCATGTCGTTTACCATCTTCCTCGCGCTCAACTCGGCCGAGTTCTGCAACAAATACCTTCGCGCCGAGCCGTTGCCCGAAGGCCTGCTGCCGCTGTCCACCTATATCCAGGTGTGGGCCTTCCTCTTCCTCGTCGTCACCTTCTACCTGGCCTTCGCCAAGGACGAGAAGCCAGACTTCCGCACCCACGGCGCGATGACGTCACCATCATTGTCGTCGTCATCGTCGTCGTCATCGTCATCATCGTCATCATCGACCGCCGGCGCTGCCGCATCGACTGACGACTTCTTCTCGGCCGGCGGCCGTGGCAAGTCGAGTGAGCTCATGATCGACCACGGCGAAAAGGACAAGCAAACGCGCGAACGCGAGCGCGTGCGGCAGGTGCAAAAGGAGTCGCGCACGATGGGTGCGACCATCGTGGTCAACGAAGGCGATGACAGCGATTCCGAAGACCGCTCATTCCAGCGTCACAACAACAACAACAACAATAGCAGCAACCATGTCTCGGAGACGGACTACGATGAGTTCGACAATGACGACGATGATGACGATGAAGAGGAGGTCACGGTCAAGGCGGTCTTCTGGAAGATCTGGAAGCTGGTCAACCTGCCCAACATGCGCACGCTCCTGCTCCTGATGCTGGTCTACAAGCTCGGGTTCATGGCCGCCGACACCGTGTCGGCGCTCAAGCTCATTGAAAAGGGCTTCAAGAGGGAGGACCTCGCCCTATTCGTGCTCATCGAGTTCCCCTTCCAGATCTTCTTCGCCGTTCTCGCCGGCAAGTGGGCCAGCGGCCGAGCTCCCCTCACTTCGGTACTCCCACCGACTGATATTTTTATGTTCCTTTTTTATTGAATTATATAATCCTTATTCTAAATAATCTGGAAAAACTGAAAAGAATCTCTTTTGCAGTTTATGATTGGCTTCAAGCTCAGGCTGGTCATCTCGGCGCTCGGCGGCCTGGTGATCTACTTCTTCCCGAGCGGGGGCATCTCGACGCCCTACTATCTCGTCGTCCTCGCGCTCACCCTCGCCACCTCATTCTCCGGCACCATCCAATTTGTCTCTCAGGTACGCACACGCACACGCGCATGCACGCACCGCACACACGCACGTGTCTCATCAAACGCCACCCAATGCAACACAGGGAGCATTCTTTACGCGTATCAGCGACCTGTCGATCGGCGGGACCTACCTCACGCTCCTCAACACCTTCGCCAACCTGGGTGGGACGTGGCCTAAGTTCTTCGTTCTCTACTTCGTCGATCTCCTCACCGTCAAGCAGTGCGTCGGCGATGGTATGCATACTCCGTGTGCGTGTGCGGTCGTGCGTGTGCGTGTGCGCTCACTCACGATGGGGTGCAAACCGCAGGCGAGGAGTTGGCCCAGGTGGGCAGCTGTGTGGCCAAGGACAAGGGCGACGAGTGCGCGGCGCTGGGCGGGACGTGCGAGATGGAGGTCGACGGCTACTACCCGGTCGTCGCCGGCTGCTTCGTGATCGGCCTCGGCCTCGTCGTGCTCCTCCAACGGCGCCTCGTCCCACTCGAGCGACTGCACCCCTCCGCCTGGAAATTCAAGCAGTGAAGTTACAAAAATAAGCAAATAGTTGGAAATCCTATGCTTGGCCACATTTCAGGGTAGGGAAATTTGAAATATTTAAGGCATTCAAGTTCAAGGTGGATTCACTGGGTCTTCTTGTTCTGTTGGGACCGGAAGAGGAGGCCCTTGACGAAGGCCCACGCCGAGTAGATCTGCGGGATGGACCTGGCCATGCTCTTGATATTGCCGGTGACGGCGGGCACGTAGGCGATGAAGGTGATGGCCAGGTAGAGCAGGAACGAGAAGCGGAAGAGCAGCGCCCCGCCCAGCAGGAAGACCCACCAGATCAGCAACAGCGGCCAGAAGGCCACCACGAAGCCCAGGGCCAGCGCTCCGCCCATGTAGGGATGCTGTCGTACGACACGACAAGCACACGACACACGGCGGCGTAAACAACAGGGGGAGGGGTGATTAACGGACTCGGTCAGAGGACGCACCTCATAGCCCCAGTCCCACGCCGGGACGACGATGCCGTCATAGACCGTCTCGACCAGTGAGTCCTGCAGCTCCGCGACCCAGCCGGGCAAGCTGATGACCGACCGAGCGGCGATGAGAAGATGAGAACGAGTGTCGCACACGCGAGTGTTCGTGCGTGTGTCATGCGTGTGTGGTGGTGTGTGTGTCGTGTGCGCACTCACCTCAGGTACAGTTGGTAGGAGAAGGTGGCAGCCAGGATGATCTGGATGATGTTGGAGACCACCAGGAAGCCGTTTCGCAGTTGCCTCGTATAGTACTTCTCGTAGGGCATCTGCACCATCCAGCTACACATGTTCAAACCCACAAAACACCACCAAAGCTCAGTTCAGGCTCATAGAGCACAACTGTGCCACAGGCGGAGCGGAGCGAGACCTAGGGATGCCGGCTTGCAGGCGTTGCGTGAGTTTGTAGTTCTGGATCTGTTCCTCCAGCAGCGGCCTGCCAGGCGCGACGGCCACGGCCACCATCGCGTGAGCGCACGCGCCCGGTAATTACGGGTACATTACACAGCGGTGGTGGCGGCGTACATGTGCAGCGAGGGCACGATGAGGGTGAGGATGTGGACACGCCGGAGGGTGGGGTGGGGCAGCGGGTTGCGCGGCTCGAGCGTGAGCGTGAACTCGCTCTTGGGCGGCGCGGCGTAGCTCAGCCCCAACGCCGTCACATCGCGCCACTATTTATCACGTGCATTATTATTATTCTTGTATTATTTCAAACTATCATTTGATAAATAAAAGATGTACAATTAAAAATAAATAAAAGAATCAAAAAAATGGAGGGGGGTTGTACGTTGAAGGAGAGGAGGTGTGGGGCGGAGGTGAAGTCGGCGTCGAGCGCCACGTCTACACGGCCGTCAGGCGCAAAACGCAGGACCGGACGCAGGGCCTCTTCGCCCTTGGCCGGGAAGCTCTTGCCCCGAATCCGCACCTCGCGTAGGGCCACCGTCGTCCACTCCACACTGTCTGCCATCGATCTTTCTTTTTGCTCTTGGTGCGCGTCTCTGTTTATATTTATTATTATTTCGGTGGAATTCAAGGAATGTTGCACCTACCACGCTCTTGAGGTTTGCTTGAGGTTCGCGTAACGCCATACGACGGACTGCGGTAATACCGCGGTCGGAGAGGGCTTTGTTTCAAATCGATCGATTGAAGAGTGATCCACAAAATGGCGGATGCAATGCGCAGTATTTTGGAAGACCCCATTACCCTCGACCTCATGGTTCAAATCCCTGCCCCTTTATTATCACGTTATTGAATTATTTTATTTTTTTATTTAGTTTTTTTATCGAACCAAGTTAATGTGTTGGTGGGCTGCCCCGACAGGAAGAGGCGATGGTTGCCCCGTGTGGCCACTCCTTCTCGCGCGAGTCGATCGAGAGGTGGGTGCGTGACGATGCCAAGCACTTCTGCCCTCTGTGCCGGCAGGCCCTCACCCTGGACCAGCTCCGCCCCAACTTCTCCCTGCGCGACGCCGTCGAAAAGTGCGTCCCTTGGTTGCTTCTTCATTTATATTATTCTTTTTTATTATTAGCAGGTGGTGAAGCTTATTGACAACAACGGCGAACGGCGGCGTGGGCAGGTATAAGGTGGCCAATGGCGAGCCCGCCACTGATCGCCGCGGACTCAACATCAGTACGTACCCTATGCCGCCCGTGCCAGTCCCAACATCACGCGCGCGCCAAAGTCGACTCACACTCGGGGGTTCTGGTTGTTGTTCTTGTTGTTGGTTGGCGTGTGGCGCGCTGCAGCAAGGCCCATTGCTCAGTGGTCGGTGGCCGAGACACAGGAGTGGATTTCGAACTTTGAGGACTGGGTGGAGGACAGCGTTCTCATCACCGAACACAAGATCGATGGCCAGACACTGGTTCGTGCGTGTGCGTGTGCGTGTGCGTGTGCGTGTGCGTGTGCGGTGGTGCGTGTGCGTGTGCGTGCGGTGTGCGGTGGTGCGTGTGCGTGTGCGTGGTCATTCTGATGTCCGCTGGCGACCAATTAGGCGAGAATGACCGAAGAGGAGTTGAAGGACAAGCTCAACGTCACTGACGACAACGTGGGTCCGCTCATGGACAAGATCGCCAAGATCAAGAACATTTCCAACCATTTGACCAATGGTGCATTGCCCCCCCCCCGCCACTATCGTACTCACCCACATAGGTGCCTCACATCTTCTGTCAACTCTGCGAACTCTTCGCAGCCGATCGAGTCGAGACCGTCGTCATGGACAAGAAGCCTGCCGCATCAACATCAGGTTCCAGCGGTGTCGGCGATAGTACGTACTCGCTTGTCTCGACAATCATGTCCCCTCGCCTGATCTCACGCGTCGTTTGTGATGTGTGACGTGGAACACAGTTGAAGCCGGCGGTGGCGGTGCGGGAGCGGGGGACAACAATTCTCGCGGCTGGTTTGGGCGTCGGGTGGATCTGGCGAAGGAGAGCGAGACTGGCTGCTGTCTGTTCGAGTGCGAGCGATCCTTCCTCTGCGAGTGCGCACACGGTACGTGACACACACCCTCGCCTCTGGGAGAGCTGTGCTAATCTATCTCTTTCTTTTTCTGTTCTTGGTGGTTGAATCGGTTGCAGGGTGGTACAAGGGCTGCCACTTCAAGCCGTACAGACCACCAGCGGCGATCTTCTGCGAGCACTGCGGTGGCAAGAGCGCGACGTACGCCTCGTGGTTTAGGCCTTTCTCCCTCCCTGGTCCCACCCTGATTGTCGCCGCTCGTGTGTGGTGTGACGTGGTGGCGGTGGGGCTGTGCAGATATGCTCGGCGAACGTTCTGGGGCATCTGCTTCATTCCCTTCGTGATGATCATCCTCTTCTTGCTCTTCCTCGAGGCCGCCTTCTGGTTCATGGTGGCTGCGCTCTCCATATTCGTCCTCCTCTGCGTGTGTGCCGTCGCCATCGGCGCCAACTCGTAGATACCTAGGAATAGCACCCCAAAAGGCACATTCTTTGTGTTGACATTCAATAAAGTTGTGGGGGAGCAAGGCTTACAGGGAGAGAGGGTCTGGCGCTACAGAACTAACAAACCAGAAACGAAGAACAGCATTGTTGGAGGCAAAAATATAGTGAAAGAAGAGATAGTGGTTGCGTGGCCATCAGCGCCGCCGGCCGCTTCCAGCGGCCAGGACGGCCACCACGCAGATGAAGCACGCAATGGCGAGGACCATGACGAGCATCCAGAAGGCGGCCTCCACAAAGAGCGCCAGGAGAAAGATCATCGCGAAGGGGATGAAGCAAATACCCCAAAATGTCCGCAGCCCGTACCTGCAGCGATTACATGGGTCAGCCAACGACATATGCACACGCACTACCGCACACGCACACGCATGCATGACATAACAAAAAACACGAAAGAACACGACACAGGACATGGCAAGAGGAGGTGCGTACGAGGCGCTCTTGCCTCCGCAGTGCTCGCAGAAGAGAGCCGCGAGTGCTCGGTAGCAGCCGAGATGACAGCAATCGTAGAACCCTACGGTGTGGACGCGACACACACAAGCGTGGGAGCGTTGGCGATAGATATCGGCTGGCCATGCTGTTGTGGTGGGGAAGTAGTAAGCAGTACCTTCCGAGCACTCGCACAGGAAGCAGTCCGCGCACTCGAAGACGCAGCAGCCCGTATCGCTTTCCTTGGCCTCGTTCGTCCACCGGCGCAGGCAACCCGGCCCGTCCTCCTCGAGCGCTCTTTCGCGCCGGATCTCCGACTCGCCCGTTTCCACTGCAAGCAGGGTCCTGCGTCAGTCATTCTTTAAGCCCACCGGCCGGTGGTGGGTAGGTGGACGACCGACGTACCGTCCACGCTGGTGCTCATCGACGACGAAGGCGGTGGCGAGCTCGTGACCTCGACGCTGCTCGTGCCGTCAATCATCGCATTGAGGCTCGCTGCACTGAACAGTTTAGGGTCTGCGATCTCGGCAAACACAAAGGTGAAAAACAAGACCGGAGCTTACGGAACGCGGCATAGTCGACCAGGCACTTGGAGATGGTGGTCGCCTTGGCGATCTGGATCTGGAGGAGCTTCGAGTGCTCGGGCGCGACGCGCAGCTTCTCCTGGAGTTCCGCCTCTTGCATGCCCGACTGTTTTGTTTTGTTTTGTTTTGTTTTGTTTTTTTGTAAACAAGAAAGCGAAAGCGAATACGAAAGCGAGGAGGGCATGAAGAAGGGAGCGAACCAGTATTTTGCCGTTGATGTTGTGTTCCTCGACCATCACGCTGTCCTCCACCCAATCGTCAAAATTCTCGATCCACTTCTTGGTGTCGGCCACCGACCAATCCTCGATCGGCGTTTCTGTGTGATGACGCCCGCCAGTCACATTAGAGCGATAATCGTGGAAAAAAAATACAAAACAGAATTAAAAAATGACTACTAAAACTACGACTACAGAATGTGTGCACGCACTAAACTCGAGGCCTCGCCTCTCCGTCGGTGGTCGCTCGCCGTTGTCCGCTTTGAACCTGATCACACAAAGGCCAGTCAGTCCTACATGCTGGCACGCTAAACACCGCAAGATTCGCACAAAACACGCAAGTGTCACACTTGTGCACTCGGCGTACTTGGAGACGGCGTCGCGCAGGGAGTAGTTTGGTCGGAGCTGGTCGATGGCCAGTGGGTGCTTGCACAGTGGGCACGAACGTTTGGAGCCTTCCTGGAGCCATCGCTCGATGGACGCCTGCGAGAACGAATGGCCGCAGTGGCCGATGACCGCGTCGTCCTGTAACGTTCATGGCGTGGCCATACGAGGGCGCACGGCAAAAAATGCGCGCGCAAGGCACCACGTGGTCATTTCGTTCCGCGTAAGCAGAGATTCTTGCACGCCGTAGCTAATACGATTGAGACGAAAGAGGCGGTTGTGGGGGGGGGGAATGGAGATAAGTGTAAACATAAGTATAATGATTGCAGGTAAAAGATCGAACTAAATAAATGAAATCAGCAACTAATAAAAAGATGGAAAAAGAACGAAGAAAGCGGCCACTTTTTTTTCTGTTGGGAAAAAAGGGACGAGCAGACGGGGCCGCGACGCCGTACCATCAACTCGAGAGTGATGGGGTCTTCCAATATACTTCGCATGGTGTCCTCCATCCTGGGCGGTTTGTCGCGTATGTGCTTGCTGCTGGGGCCAGTGGGAGCTTGCACACCCTCTCCCGTAGTCCAGATAAAGCGAACCGGGGCCGCAGGAACCCGTTGCCGTGTGCCCCTGTCGCTTTCTTCGCTCACGAGGGTGTCGACCTATGTAATAGCTAAATAGGCAAGAAAACAAAAAACAAAAAACAAAATAAAAACAAAGAGAAATTAAAAAAACAGAACGGCAAATGGAGGACCCTGACCTCCACGAGGATGATTTAGTGGCGAACGCTGCAACCGAGCTGGAGTCAGAATCGGACTCGGACTACAGAGATGACGAAGAGGAAGATGAGGACGAATTTGGGGAGAGCAGCATGAATCACGCTGCGCGAGCGCAATCGCTGCTGGCCGGCTTCGCCTCCACGTTCCCACCTACCGCAGCTGCTGCGGCAGGTGCCTCCTCATCTGCCACCTCGTCTCTACTCGAAATGACAGGCGATTTCCTCAGTGCCGCCGATTTAGCGTACAACCCAGCAGAAGATGATAGATCACACAACCCTCCTTCAATTGATTGATGTGCGTGTGGTGTGTGTTGATGCAGGACGGGAGCAGAAGATGACCTCGGAGAAGAGGATTTCGAAGAGCAGCTGCAAAACCTCGCCAAGAAGGTATGCTCGTCACCATCATTATCATCGTAACGCGTAGCGCCCAGGGCCGCGTGCTTACGCTTCTTCTACGCCCACGTGCAGTCCAAGAAAAAGAAGAGCAAGCTCACGCCTCAGCTCTCGCGTCTCATGGGCGAAGCCAACATGGCCTACACGTTAGGCGAGTACTCCAAAGGTACGACCCGTTCATCGTGCGGTAGTGCGTGTGCGGTAGTGCTTGTGCGGTGTCGTGTGCGTGTGCGATGGTGCGTGTGCGTGTGCCTTTTGGTCAGTAGCTGACTAACAGTGTGTGTACGTGTAGCGGTGGGGATGCTGCTGGACATCATTAGGCAGGCTCCCAACGTGTCCGACCCCTATCACACGCTGGGCCTCATCTACGAGACCATGAACGACAAGAAGAAGGCCCTCGAGTTCTTCATGATCGCCGCCCACATCTCACCCAAGGACGCTCCGCTGTGGCGGCGGCTCGGCCTCATGTCCCGCGAAGTTGGTAACCCTCCCACTCGAGCACCAGCGCGTTGGAGACTTCATTACTCACATACACGACACTCGCAAGGTAATACGGAGCAGGCGATCTATTGCTACTCCAAAGCCATTCGTCTCGACCCCAATGATTGCGATGCCATCTGGGATCGTTCGGTCATCTACGCCGAGCAGGGCAAACATGACAAAGGTTCTGTCGTGCTGCAACGACGTGTCTCTTTCCAACTTTCGTGCTTTCTGCTCACGTTCTCTTTACTCCCTGCGTGTGCGTCTCATAGCCATTCGCGGTTTTGTTGCCCTGCACGAGTTGACCAAGGGAGACACCGACGTTTCCAAAGAGCTGGCCAGGGTAGATTTCTTAGCCCTCGACTGTCCAATCACACGCTCTGACTGTCTTCTTTTGGGTGTGACACACACAACAACACACAACACACAACACACAACACACAACACACAACACACCACAGCTCTACCACCAAACAGGCCAGACAGACAAGGCCATATCGGTGCTGTCGGCCTCGCTCGACAAATGGAAGCAGAACACAGGAGAGAGACAGACCGAGCTGGATCTCGACATGGTACGAACAATTCACACTGTGCTAGCTGAGGCGAGGTGACGTGGCCACTTACCGCCAATCGTCGTTGTTGGTGCTGCGCAGGTGAACATGTTAGCAGAGTTGTACATGAGCATGGACAACTATCAACAGGCGAGCGCCCTCATCGACGACACCAACAAGCGGTTGACCAACCAGGCGCTGCCTCTGGACTTGACGATCAACTTTGGCATCTGTCAGGCCCACCTTCAGAACATCGTCATCGCCGAGGTAGGCCGACTTGTCTGTCTGTCTGTGGCTTGTCGTCTCTCGCGTGACTGTCTCTGATCTCACCACACCTATGACACACACACACACACACACTGCAGCGACAATTCGAGAAACTGATGGAAAAGAACGTCAACACGTACGGCGATTTGTTCTTCGACGTGGCCGAGACCTTTATCAAGGTGGGCGAGCCAGCCAAGGCTGCTCTGGTAAGTAGCATCATCAACCTCCCCTACCCACCACGACACACTTTTGCGTTGGCGCTCACCTGCGCCTCTCTATCCCTATCGTCCAGGTGTTTGAGAAGCTGGTCAAGAATTCGGCCTACAACATTCCTAGCATTTGGCAGATGCAAGCCGAAAGCTACAGGAATTCGGGGAACTCGACCAGTGCGATCAATACATTCCTTCAAGGTACTCTTTATACATACTTAGTATATTCATGGTGCCCACTGTAGTGCTCAACACTATGCCACATATATGTTATGTTGGTTGGAACAGTCGTGCGTGAGGAGCCGAGCAACGTCAACGCTCGTCTGGCACTCTCGGAGCTGTACAAGGAGACCGGCAACTACGATGCAGCCATCGCCATCGTTTCTCACACTTCAGTCCCTCTCGGTACGCTCAAGCTGTGCCACACGAGCCCCTTATGACTTCTCACAATTCTCCAATGCGATAATTACGGTATTACAGCCCATCGCCAGCAGTATCAAGATGACTCGAGCATGGAGGTGGAAGGTACGGGCGGAGAGACTCTCGCATCGCTCGACGGGGAGCTGTCCGAGCAGGACCGCGTGTGGCTCGACGGAGAGCAGGTCCGGATGGCGGTGCAAAAGGGGCTCCTTCACTTCCACCTCGAGCAGCACAAGGAGTTCCTCGATACCGGTACGCTGCCCCCGTTCCCTAAATGAACAACCTCATAGCCGGAGACATCTTATTCGTACTTGTCCGCACAGTTCTGCCGCTTGTCCTTGCTTCGTGTCGGAGCGGCCGCAACACAACCAAGGTACGGCACCGCACACACCGCACACACCGCACACACCGCACACACGCACTTAATGACAACGTTGCAATTGCGAACAATTGCAATCGGACTGGCAGGCGTTCACGAGGACGCGCAGGAGGAGGAGAAGGAAGGACGGAAAGCGAGGCAAGCGACAAAGGACGCGGAAGTCAGTGCAACCGCCGCCGGACGAGGCCGATCAGAGCGACAACCTCCTCCAGTTCAACCTGGGCAGCCGGCGCAAGAGCGCCAGGGGTCAAGCTTCATCCGCCGCCGCCGCAGCCGCCGACGCCTCGGCCTCAGCCACCACGGCGACGTCGGAGGCAACCGGTGCGGACGCTGCAATTGCGACGACCGAAGCCGCAGCGCCGGTGACGACCACCAGCGAGGAGAGCGACAGCAGAGCTACGCTGGTGCCGATCGTGGAGGAGCCCCGCGCGGCCGCTGCCGCCGGTGGTGAGGCGGCCGACAAGGCCACCGAGCCGGCCAAACTGGACAAGGGCAAGGAAAAGGTCGGCGACGCAGAGGCGGACACCGCTCACATGGAAACGGTGGAAGAGAACGAAGAGGAGGGAAACGAAAAGCAGAAGCCGAAGCCGAAGAAGAAGCAGCAGCAGAAGCAAAAGGAGAAGGTTGTGGACGAAGACGAGGATGACGAGGACTACGAGGTGGAGGAAGACGAAGATGACGATGATGAAGAGGAGGAGGAGGAGGAGAAGGGTAACGCGCTTGCCGAGAGCGACGACGCGGGCGAGCGGGCTACGACCCACGACTCGGACGACGCCCCGCTGGAGCCGCAACGAGACACCTCGGTATTCGAGGCCATCGTCAACGCCATCACGCTCGAGGCCTACTTCGAGCTCGTCCTCAAGGTACGTCGTACAACACCGACGGCGGCGCTGCTCACTCGGTGGTGCTCACTGGTGCGCAATGCCCGCATTCCCGCTCGACAGGTCTGCAAATCGTTGGTGGCGCTGGAGCAGCACACGGACGCGGCGGCAATCGTCAAGGACCTGCTCACGTGCAGGTACATGGAGAAGGACCAGCGGGATCAGCTCCACTTCCTCTACGTCGGTGTGGCGTTCGACCACGGCGATTTCGAGGCGGCGTACGAGGGCATTCGACTCATCTGTCTGCGCAACCCGCAGTCCACCCGGGCCTGGAATTTGCTCAACACCGCGACCATCAGGTACCGCGCGCCAGCTTGGAGCTTCGGCGCAGTCAATCGCATTGCGATCCAAATTAATAATACGTCGTATGGCACTTCAGGATGGGTCGCTACAACTCGCGGTCCCACCACAAGTTCATCGTCCGGCAACTGCTGCGAAGCCCCAACTCGGTTCCGCTGATGATCCTCGCCGGCCACGACTGCAACATCTCAGGCATGTCATCATCCCCCGCATCACACATCGCACATCACACATCGCGCACGTTTAATGCACCAAGGCTGATGGTATGAATGTGGCGTGTGGGGTGGTTGGTGTGACACCAGGCACGCACAAGTTTGCGTTGGGCGAATTCTTCCGGGCCTACCACCTGTCGCCCAAGCACCCCATGATCTCCCTGTGCATCGGGCTCACCTACCTGGCGCAGGTAACATCATCGTTCTCACCGTTCTCGCCCGTGTCGTCGTTGATGGCCGCGGTTATGAACTCATTCGTGAACATCATCTCCACATCAATACAACAGGTGATGAACAGGAGAAGGCCCGAACGGCACTACATGGTGCTGCAGGCGTTCACCTTCCTCTACCAGTACCACTTCCTGCGCGAGGACGACAACCCGCAGGAGGCCGCCTATAATGTCGGACGGTAACTGGCGCCACACGCACCACCGCACACGCGCAACTGCACACGAACCACCGCACACTCACAACCGGACACGTACCACCGCACACGCATCATCGCCTGTGTGCTCATCGCTACTTGTGTTGCTTAGGGCGTTCCACCAGCTCGGGCTGGTGCACCTGGCGGTGCCCTACTACGAGAAGGCCCTCACGCTGCCGGCGCCCAAGGACTACGCCGCACGGGAGCACTTTGACCTCAAGAAGGAGGCCGCCTACAACCTGTCGCTCATCTACAAGGCCTCTGGCGCGCCTCACCTCGCCCTCCAGATCACGCGCCAGTACTGCGTGGTGTGAGCGTGGTGCTGGGAGGAATCAGACAGTTGTGGTTTAGAAACCTGTGCGTCCCAGCGCATGTGGGTGGGAACGGAAGTGCCGGAGCTCTCGATCTAGCGAGCACGTGAGTTGTCCGATAAAGGCACCGACATGTAGCACTACCACCTGGCCAGGTGTAATTATTAAAAAATTTAGACAAATATTTGGCTTTATGGTAGAAAAAGCAGCAAAAAATTCATTTTTCCAATAAATGTTGAATGGGAGCGGGGATTTAGTTCTCATTTTGATAAAATCGACCAATCCGCTACGAACGGTCATCACAGGGGAAAAAAGCCGGCGCTTTTCAACAGCTCGAGGTAGAGGCAGGGGTCGCCGGCAAGGGCGAGCAGATCTCCTCCTTCTTCTTCGTTCTTCGCCGCAGCGGCCGTAGTAGGTTGAGGTGGCGTGGACACGTGGAGTGTGTGCCGCTCGGCCTGGCCCCCAGCGTAGTCCAGTGTCGACGCCTAATAGTGTCGGCCACTGAACGGGGGCGAGCGATCGGGGTGAGAGAGAAGCAAGCAAAAATGGGAGCAATACAAAACGGAGTGATGTAGGCCTGACGTGGAAAGGAGGTGGGTGTGAGGTGGGGTAAGGGAGGTGATCATCAGCGCACCCTGTACTTGGAGGTCCAGCAGCTCAACATACGGCATAGCGTCGAGCAGTTGAGGAAGCGCGAGGTCGCCGAGGCTAGCCGGTCCGTCCATGTAGAGGCCGGAGTGGTCGTCTTGCTGAGGCGCAGTGTGCGCCTGCGTTTGCGGTCGAGGCTGAGGCGGCACGACGCCTGGAGCAGAGTGCTTCTTGAGCGATCGCCCATGAGATAGGTAGCCCTTGCGAGTGAAGAAGCGCTCCCCGCAGAGCGTGCCGTCTGGCTTCATCCTCTTACACACGAGTTCGGGAATGGCATCCTTGAACTGAGGTCTGGCGGGAGCGGTGCGGCCTGACGGAGGGTTGGGCGGTCCACTCATAGTGTGTATGTTTGTCTAGGTGTAAGCGGAAGAGAGAACAACAAAGGGAGACTCGCTGCCTTTTGTGTGTGGTCATTGTCGACACTCAGCCAATCTCCCCAGGGCAAAGAGAAGGCAAAGACCAAAGGCCTCTGGTCTGGTGCCTTCCAATCGTCCAACTGTGGAGGGAATTGGGGTAAAACTTGTTCCTGCCGGCCATAGGTGTGCAAATCTTGTTTGTTGGCTGCACAAGCGAGTTCCGCCCCAAGCACACACCCTCCGGCGGCAACGGCAAAGCTTTTTGTACAAAGGTGCACCTATTTGACAGGCATCATCAGGTTGTCTGACAAGGAAGCCATGTCGCAAAATAGTCAACAAGAGGAGAAAGATGAGTGAAATTTGGTTTATTGAAGAGCTTTTTATTTGCTCATTTTGATAAAAATCAACCAATCACCTTAGTCTACGAACGGTCGTCGCAGCACCACGCGCACGAACAAAGTTGTTCCTCGCTGTCCGTGCTTTGCCGCCGTTGGTCCATCAGGTTCCTGTCCTTGTTTACCTCTTTGCACGCACCAACCGGTCAGATCAACGTTGCGAAAAGAAATGGACCTAGATCGCAGCTTGCAAAAACTGAAATTTCTGTTTAATAGGCTATTTTTTTGTATAAAATCTATCTCCCAATCGTGGCCGTCACGGAAGAAGAGCGAACACGTCGTTCAGGAATTGTTCCTCGCTGTCCGTGCCCAGCTGTTGTCGTTGGTTCGCCTCCGCCATCGCGGGGGTGGGGGAAGTGCACACGCTCTCGCTCCCGTGGCTTACAGCCGCGCCACGGCCGGCCATCTCCGCCGGAAGGCGGCGACGCACAGTTTTGGCCACTGCGCACCAGTGGGAGATGAGAGAAGCAAAAATGGGAAGAGTCAGCACAACTAAGTGATGCCCTCGCGAAGGGAGGGAGTGAGGTGAAGTGGAGGTGTGATTGTGGGCTCACCTTGGTAGTGGAGCTCCACCAACTCACCGAGGGGCATGATGTCGATGAGAAGAAGCAGCTGTTGTAGAGAGCTGGGACCGTCGGTGAGCGGGGGCGCTTGGTCGTCTCGCTGCGGCGTGGGGGCAGCCGGGCCAACAGTGGCGGCATGCTTCCTGGGCGATCGTAGGTGCGACTTGTAGCCCTGCAGGGTGGTGAAGTGCCTGCCGCACACCTTGCGGTTGGGCTTCAGCTTCGTGCACCAGTACCCGCGGCAGGTACGCTTGGGCTGGGGTCTCTCCGGAGAGGTGAGGTAGGGGGTGTGGGTGGGAGTGCGAGGTCTGCTCATGTTGTGGTGCGTGGGGTACGAGGTAGGTAGGTGAAGGTGGAGGCCAGGTGAGGTGGTGTTGTGTACGCTGTGAGCGAACAATATAATGGAAAGGAGGCCAGCCCCGCTCTTTTGAAGCTGCGAAGGCCTCACCCTTGAGTCGACGCAAAAGCCACCTCTCGCCTACCGACCCAATCACCAAACTGGGCTTTGCCGCAGTTGGTCCATCACGTTCCTGCACTCCCCAGCCCCGCTGGCGATCGTCTTGGGCAAGCAATCATTCATTACGCTGCCCAATTGATGACGACCCAACAACGTTACAGTGTTGCAGCCACAGGCAACCGCGCGCCTGACGAGAGTACCACGCGCAGGGCAGTTGTCACTTGCGAAGGCCATGTTGAGGTGTCAACAGTCCAAAGGTCTCCATCAACTTTGTGACTATCATGGAACCCTGCACGGCGATCTGCGCGGCGCATAGCACGCTGTGAGGGACTGCAGAGAGGGATGAAGTTGACGAGAGGGAGGGGTGAGAGCGGAACCATGTGATTGTCGCGGGTGGTGTAGGTGAGATATTCGACCCCAAACTGCTGCAGCATCGGCTCCAAGCTGACTAAGGCGCTGGGCGACACCGCGTAGACCAGTCGGGTATTTGTAGCGGCCAAACAGCCACTGTAGCCATTGCCCCACTTATCAGCCGAACTTGCCGCTGCCAACCCCAAGAGGAAGTACCTTAAATAGACCAGGACGTCATCTATGCGTTGGAAGCTGACGCACGTGATGATCCTGTTGATCGTGTCGACATGGGTCCATGACTCGTACAACCACTCTAGGCTCGGAACGAGCTCCTGAACAAGGTGATGTTGCTCCGAGGCAAAGAATCCCATCGTCTTGACGAATGTCGGGACTAGGCTGCCGGCGTAGCACCACACCTCGAGCTGCGCCCACTCCTCGTCCTCGTGGCCGCAGTTGCTGAGGTACGTGACGTCCTGCTCGTTGCCCTCTTTTTCTTTCTCCTCCTCTTCTTCGTTGTCACCATTGTCTTCGCCATCGTCGTTCGAGACGAGCGATTGAGTGACCACCGCAACGATGTCGAGCCGAGCCAGGTGCCGTCGGGCGAAGTCCGCAAACCCGTCGGCCAGCTCGGGCGACAGGTAGTGGGGCAGCACGCGGCACTCTATCTTGTTGACCAGGTGCTCGACCACGTCGAGTTCCTCGGACGGGCCGGTAACCACGATGGCGCCCTTCTTGAGCGGCCGCACCCTGAGCTGTCTGTAGTTGACGTGAATGTGCTCCTTGAAGAACAGGGCGCGGCCGGAGGTGAGGGTCAGCTGCTGCGGGGCTGCGGCCTTTTGAGCCTGCCCCCCGCCTGCGGTCGAGACGGGCTTCATGTCCTCGATGCAGGCCTTGGCCGCCTCGCGCGGGCCGAACACAGTGACCTCCCCCCGCTTGGCGTCGTATTCGATCAGCACGCCATAGGCTTTGGTCAGCTGAGCCACCTGAACGCGCTTGAACTGGTTGGCGTTGAGCTGGAGGTTCGCGACCGTGAGCTTGGCCATGTAGTGGCTGGGCCGCTGGCTCAGCGCCTCGACCTTGGCGCTGTCGCTGCCCATCATGTGGACCACCAGCCTACCGCCGGGCTGCCTGGCCGTAAATACGGCGACCTCCGGATCGGTCTGGCCCAGCTCCTTTATCTTGGCGTAGAGCAGGGTACTGAACCTGGTCTCGCTCGAGCTGAAGCTCGACTGCCTCCGCGTGGCCTTGGCCAGGAGGCTCTCGATGGCGCTCATCGCCCTGTCGACGCTGGCTTTGGCCGAGCCCTTGACCTCGACCACCGGCTCCATGGCCTTGACCTTTTCCGTGGCGGCGGCTTTCTTGTCGACATGCTTTGCGACTCCGCGGCCGGCGGCCTTGGCAGGGCAGCCTCGTCCCCGTCCCGCCTGGCCTCGGCCCGCAGCCGCGGCTTGACTTGCTGCGCCTCTTCCACCCCGACCGCGCCCGCGACCACTCGGAGCAGTGGGGCCGGCCTCGGGCGACGACGGGGAGGTTCCGCCCAGGCGGACGGCGATGACGACCGCGTGCTGGTCCTGCAGCTGCTTGAGCGCGCCGCGGCTCTTGCGCAGGAAGTGCATCTCGACCAGGTCCTGCAGGCGCTTCTCTCGAACGACCACGCTCGGATCGAAAACAGCCAGCTGCGACAGCGCACAGTGAGCAGGCTGTACGATCGCGCGGAGGGTTGGAGGTGGGTCTAGGCCAATCATACCTGTTTGCCCACAACATCGATAGAGCCGGCCTTGAGAAGTCTTTTCAGGCAAGCTTCGGTGGACACCGGGACGTGAATCGCGTCCGGACCGATGTAGATCCGCCCAAGCCGGCCAGCATTCTAGCGTGTGCGGTGGTGTGCATGCGGGTGGGTGCTCGCGTAGTTAGCAACAACAAAATTCATGAACTGGCGCCAGAGGGAATAGTACCAGCTGGCCGAATGCGCGGATGATGGCCTGGGACACCTGGCCCTTTGGAACCGCGGTCAGGGAGGGTCTGAGCCCCACCTTGATCAGCGGCACCTCGCCCTCGTGGCGCTCCACATTAATCTGCCCACCAACCAGGCACTTCGTGAGCACTCGATATTGGTGTGACAGTGCAGGGCGCTGGGTCATACCGTGACGCCATCCGGCACGAAGGGCTTGGCGAGAGCCCTGTCGGCCTGCTCGCTCGTCACTTCGGCGTACGCCCGCTGTCCGCGGATGGTAAGGAAGATCTCGGCGTTGGCCTGGCAGTGCTGGCCCAGCTTCTTTCCCAGGTCGTCGATGCCCATGTTGACGACCGGGTGCAGCACCAGAGCCACTACCGGCTGCTCTCCCTGCTGCTTTTTATTTTTCTTTTTATCCGCCTTTGCCTCCTAGTCCGTCGAAAGAGAAGGTGAGTGCTGGCTCCACTTCTGGGCCTTTGGGGGCATCCACGTACCTTGGAGGCGGCTGGCGACTTGGCGCTCCCGGGCAAGACCTCGGCCGCCCCTGTCTTGGTTCCGCCCAAGGCCTTGGCCGACAAATGTTTGGCCGAAGGTTTGGCGGGCGAGGCTGGAGGAGTCTGGCCCTTGGCTGCGGCCTTGGAGCTGGTTGGCCCTGGCCCGCTCTTGGGTGACGCGGCGGTCCCAGTGGTGCTGGTGGTGGTGAGGTGCCTCAACCGAAGCAGCTGGGTCATGGCCTCGGCACTGCGCAGGTGCAGTACCGCGCACAGCGGGTCCACCTGCGTCAATCCTACGATCTCCTTGTCGGGGATGTGGTGGCGGAGCGCTGTGCGCAAGGCGGGGCCGACAAGGTTCGGCAACGGCAGGCGCAGCCGAAGCCTATAGGGCGTAAAGGGCAGGATATCAATCTGAAATTGGGCATGGCCACAGTTAGGTCGGCGCAGCACACGACACATCAAAAAGGCGCGACGCATAGGAAAGAAGACTCAACGTGCCTTGGCTCTGCTGATGGTGACGGTCTTGTCCTGCACTTCAGCGAGCTGCTTGGCAGTGACCTGGATGACGACCACCCTCTTGTTGCCACCGTCGTATCCGATCTTGGTCTGGGCCAAGTCGTGGTGCTCGTTGCCCCACGCCGCCGCGACCACATCCAGCTCGATGTCCCTGGGCAGATACAGCACCACGGCCGGCTCCTCCTCCGCCTTGGCCAGTGCGACCTGTCGACGCAGATGGGTAAGCTGCCACTGATCTCGACTGGAGTGGAAGAATAAAGAACGAAGAAAGAACGAAACGCGCCTTCTCTTTCTGGATGACCAGGTTGCCCAGCTCTAGCAGGCTCTGCCGATCGGCTTCAGACCACCATCGCCGTGGGACCGAGTGGTCGGACGCTGGAGTTTGGAACATTAAAGTCCTGCACCTTGAGGGCTAGCGCAACCACAGCGGGAGTGACACCCACGGGCACGCCCCTCAGCAACACCCGAGGCCGCCCAGCTCCAGCACGCTCGGAGCCAAACGGCCAGCCTTCGACCACAATCTGGCGGGGGCGTGGGCGTAAGGTGGTGGATAGGAGTTATACTGGTGGTACTCAAGCGAGTAACATGAGGTACCTTGGGCTCGGAGTCATAGGCGTAGTCGCCCACCCTGTCGGCCTTGGCAGCGCGCCACAGGACCAACAGCGACTCCCTGGCCTTTAGCGTATCGATGTTTGCGTAGTCGTGGAGAGCCCCGAGAACGCAAACAGCAGAGTCCCTTCCCTGCTTGATCAGCTCCCAGTTCGTTTTCTCTAGGTCGTCACCCACAAAGGCTCGTAGATGAGGAAGAACGAAGCGTTGTCGGGGGAGTAAAGAACGAAAGCGAGCGAGGAGAAAGAGAAGCGCGAAAAAGAAGCGATACACTACGTACGGGAGTGGTGGAAGCGATTGAGCAGTGTCTTGATGAACTTGAAGTGGGCCGCGACAACGGGCGAGCCCTCGAGGTGGACCACCGCGCTCGCGGGGCTCTTCCCCGTGCCTGCCGAATCGTCCCACTTCAGGTGGAGCACGTTCAGCATGGTTCGCACGTCGGTCGACTTCTCGCCCAGCCCAGGGGTTTGGTCGAAGAAAGCGGAGAGCGCCGAACGCAATACATCTTCAAGCCGCGCGAAGAACGCGTTGAGCGAGCTATTATCGTACGATGAAGCATCCTTCTCCATCTTCTTCTTTCTCGCAGGAGAAAGAAAGAAGGGGTGGTGTGGTGCCACTGCGTCGCAAGCGCAAACTAGAAAAGGGTGTCACAGTTTTTCATTCGACGTGCTGTTATCTGGTTGGTTACAACCGTTGCCACCCAATCCCTGGACACCAGTTCACAGCGCCGAGGACGCACGCTGGAGGTACCTCCCTTGAGTAAAGTGTGCTGCCGGCGGCCTTCACCTTGGCCCGGTCGTCTGTCCGGGGAGCTGGGAGCGGCCAGCACTGATTCAGACCCAGTATCAGTACTCGTTGGGCGCTATTTGGCTGCTCCGCCTTTTTAGCCACTCGCGGCTCTCCGCAACTCAGACTGGCCGCTCTGGCTCGCCTTCACGCTCAACGCAAGTTAGTTGTGAGTGAGCACAGAACGAGCCAGGCCCCTCGTTTGCAGAGTGAGAAAGAGCAGAGGATGCGCAAGCACGCGGCGGCGATACCGCGTCTCGAAGATGAAGCCGGGGCGGAGGGCGCCTGGACGAAAGATGATGAACGCAGGGAGCGAGAGCGACTTCTGCCGACGTCCTCCACCTCCTCTACCACCACCAACGGTTTGCTGAGCCTGGGCCGGAGGAAGAATACCTCTTCGCCATTGTCATCTTCGTTCGATTCATCAGAATCTCAATCTTCATCTTCATCATTGGCGTGGGGCGCTGAGGTGAGGGTCGAAGATGTGAGAGCCTGGTGGTGGCCCATCAAGCTGCCACTCGTGAGCGGCGGCAACAACGCGGCGGTGGTCACGAATGAAAGAGAGATTTATGGCGAAGTCGAGGTGGAGGGAGATGGCGACCACGCTGGGCGAAGGAAGTGGCTGCTGCGCGGTATCAAGGCACGAGCGCAGCCGGGCCGGCTACTGGCCATCCTGGGACCCTCCGGTGCGACCGCACACGCACACGCATACCCCACACGCCGCGTTTCTTACCTCGCGGCGCGTTGTGTCGTGTGTGTCGTTTGCGGTGAGCGCAGGGAGCGGGAAGACGACCCTGTTGAACGTGATGGCGGGGAGAGTGGAGCACGGGTCGTCGATGGGCCTGCTCACTCGCCTGGGGGTGGAGGGCGGTGTCCTCTACAACGACATCGCTCTCGCACCACAAGAGGTACCGCCGCACACGCACACGCACACGCACACGCACACGCACGCACACGCACACGCACACGCACACTAACGCGATCAATGTAGGCCAGGCAGGTGGTGGGCTACGTGCTGCAGCACGACCACCTGCTGCCGCACCTCACCGTGCGCGAGACCCTGCGATACGCCGGCTACCTGCGACTGCCGCCGAGCCTGACCCGGCAACGAAAGCTGCAAATCGTACTACGCTCGCCTGATCGCACGTTGTTGTGCGTGTGTGCGGTCGTGCGTGTGTCGTGCGGTACTCATGCGCTACGTGTGGTGGTGCAGGTGGAGGAGGTGATCATGGAGCTGGGCCTGAAAGACTGCGCCAACCGTCGAGTCGGCGGCGATGGCGCACACGGCATCTCGGGCGGCGAACGGCGGCGCGTATCCATCGGCATTCAGGCAAGCCATGCCCCCCGTACATTCCTTGCATTCTCTCCTTTATATCTAACTTTTCCCTGCGCACATGTCGCCTTGCGTTGCTATGTGACAGATGCTCACCGACCCAGGCGTGCTGTTCTTGGATGAGCCGACGTCGGGCTTGGACAGCTACACGGCCAACAAGCTGGTGTCGACACTGGCCGACCTCGCGCACCAGGGCCGCACCATCGTGTGCACCATCCACCAGCCGCGCTCCGACATTTTCCAACTCTTTGATGACGTCATGCTGCTCTCTAAAGGTTCGACCTCCCCCGCCAAGCTGCGCTATATCTCGCATTCCCTTTGACACCGCACACGCACGACCGCACACGCACGACCGCACACAGGGCATCAGGTGTACTACGGACCGGCGCAGTCGATGCTGGACTATTTCCAGCGCTTGGGCTACGTGTGCCCGACGCACACGAACCCGGCCGACTACGCGCTCGATCTGATCGCAATCGACCTGCGCTCGCCCGAGGTCGAGCGCGCGTCGTACAAGCGGCTGGCCAAGCTCACCGCCCAGTACCGCGACGCGCAGCAACAGCAGCTACAGCAACAGCGGGACCTGCTCGACCCGGGCACCGCGCAGGCGGCGCACAGCAAGGAGGCGCGGGACCACATCTTCAACCAGATGAAGCAGCAGCACGTCAACGTCGTCGTGCAGATGCTGGTGCTCGTGGCCAGAGCGTTCAAGAACATCGTGCGCGACAAGATGGTGATCATGGTCCGGCTCATCGAAGCGCTGCTGATGGGCGTGTGCGTGGTATGCGCACTTTTCCCCCCGATGGGCTTGTTGCCCCCCCCGCCCACGCGACCGCACTCACACATGCGCGTGCGGTGGTGCGTGTGCGGTGTGCGGTGTAGGGCGGCATATTCTATCAAATGGATACCGACAACGTCGCATCCCTTCGCAGTCGGTCCGCCGCGCTGTACGCCATCGTTTCGCTTCAGCCCTACTTGATCATGCTCGCCACCATCGTACAATGTACGCAACACACAACACACAACACACACCGCACACAAGCACACAAGCACACAAGCACACAAGCACACAAGCACACACGCACACACACACACACACACACACACACACACACACACACAGCACACGCGCTAAATCTGGGATGATTGGTGAATGCAGACGAGAGCGAGCTCAAGGTGTTCAGTCGCGAGTATTTCGACAACATGGTGGGCGTGGTGCCCTACTTCATGTCCATGCTGCTGACCTCCCTCCCGTTCTCCGCCGTCCTCCCGTCCGTCTTCTGCGCCATCGTCTACTGGATGGCCGGGCTACGGCCCGAGTGGGAGGCCTTCCTCTGGTTCCTACTCATCATGACGTACGCCACACCCTCTCCCACGCCAGCTGTACGCAGAGCGCTGACGCACGACGCACGACACACACGTAATGAATGTAGGGTGATGCAATACGTGGGTGAGGCGCTGGGCTATTCCTGCATCGCCCTGATCCGCAGCTTTGGGCCGGCCTCGCTTGCAGGCAACTCCTTCGCCACGTTCTGGACCGTCACTGCAGGCTTCTTGCTCAACCCGATCTCATTCCCCATCTACCTACGCTACATCGGTACGTCCCACTGCGCTCTCCGCGGCGAGACGCAACACGCGCAGCTTTCAGGACGCTGTGCGCGGAAACGCGTGTGTCTCATCGTTCATCCATAAACGCAGGCTACACCTCCCCCTTCCAGTACGCCTACGCCGCGCTGGCCGTGGTCGAATACAAGGACAACGAATACGACTGCCCCTACCCGCCGGAGAACCCCCTCTGCCTCTACTTTGACGGTACAACCGTCGACAAACCCACGTCGTCGTTCCCGTGTTAACACGTCTCATGGTGTCGCTGTGCGTGTGCGTGTGCGTGTGCGTGTGCGTGTGCTGTGTATGCGTGCAGGAAACTACATCCTGTCGCAGCAGAACCTGATCTTCGATACCCTGCGACCGAACCTGCTCATCGTGGGCGCGATGGCCATCGGCTTCCGCATCATCGCCCTCCTCATCCTCGTCCTCTTCAAGCGAAAACCATGAACTGAACAAGGAGGCGTTGCGGTTTTATGCCTCTTCACGCTTTCTTTCTGGCGGAGATAGAAGAACAGAAGAAGAGACCTGTACAGCAGAATGTGTACACGCACGCTCGGGCGGCACCAGCTTTACTCGCGGTCGACGTTGTAGTGGAGGGCGATCTTGGCGAGAAGAGCGTCACACGTCTTCTTGGCGTCACCGAAGAGCATCGACGTGTTGGGCTTGTAGAACACCGGGTTGGGCACGTCCGCGTAGCCACCGGCGAGTGACCTTTTTGGTGATGAAGCCAAAGTGAGTGAACGCACACGCCGTGAGTAGGCGGGAAACCGGGAGAGGGAGTACCTCTTCATGACGATGACGTTCTTGGCCTTCCACACTTGAAGCACGGGCATACCGGCGATGAGGGAGTTGGGGTCCTCCTCGGCCGCCGAGTTGACGGTGTCATTGGCACCGATCACCAGAGCCTTGCGCGTCACTCAGTAAGACGCACGACACGACACACACGACACAGGGACAGAAACCGCACCAGATCCGTCTTGGGGAAGTCTTCGTTGATCTCCTCCATCTCGTGCACGATGTCGTAGGGAATGGAGGCCTCGGCCAGGAGCACGTTGAGTTGGCCTCCACGTAATAGGAACGACTATATTAGTTCGACACACTAAATCACAAATGTGATCACTGAAGGCATAAATACCAGGCATGCGGCCAGCGACGGGGTGGATGCCGAAGCGGACGTTGACGTTGTTCTCCCGCAGCAGCTTGGTGATTTCAGCAATGGCGTACTGGGCCTTGGCCACGGCCATGCCTACAGGTGGTTTGATGTTAGCACAGCGCATTACAACGTTCTACTCCTCTGCGGTGGATCAACGAACCGTAACCGGGAGTGATGATGACGCTCTTGGCGTTGGTGAGCATTTCCACCGCCTCGTCAACGTTGCACTCCTGCACCGTGCCTGCATACGCACGAAGGAAGGTGAGTTGCCAGGTCGCGGGGTCCAACGTGGGCACAGACACTGGGCGTACCAGAGAGCTGTGTCTGCGGAGCGGTGCTGATGCCGTAGCCGCCAAAGATGACGGACAGCAGGGGCCTGTTCATGGCCTTGCACATGATGTACGACAGGATGGCGCCCGACGAACCGACCAGCGCGCCCACAATGGTCAACAAGTCGTTGCCCATCATGAAGCCTGTGCGATTGAGAATAAATGGTTGTGAGCACTTACAGGGAAGAGCAAGCCACGATGACGGTATGGGGAGACCTTCAGCGCACAAGGCCCAGCCGCTGTAGCTGTTGAGCACGGTGATGACGACGGGCATGTCGGCGCCTCCAATGGAAGCGGTGGCGTGGGCTCCCAACGCAAACGACGAAATAGTTGAGTAGGCCAGATAGCCCAGACCTGCAATAGGGGTGGGGGTTGGAGATCTTAAGGCGGTGATTCGAATGAGGCTGGTAAGAAGCGCTGCGTACCGGCAATCGGGTCGGCAGTAGACATGAATCCAGCAAACGCGCCCACATTCGAGAGGGCAAGGCCGGCGTTGAGCACGTTGCGCCCGGGAAGCTGCAGCGGCTTGGAGTTGAGAAGACCCTGGTGTAAGGATGATGAGTTGGAGCGGTTAGCGACATTCGGGCAAATAATGCGAAGCGAGGCAGCAGTACCTGGAGCTTAGCAAAGGCAGTGAGCGAGCCCGTGAAGGTCACGCCGCCGATAAAGGTGCCCAGGAAGATGGCCCCCTTCTCTACGTTGCCCATGGGGTCCATGGCAAAGGTGTCGTAGTCCAGCATGTACTGCGCCACCGAGACAGCCACAGCCGCCAGACCGACCAAACTGAATGCGCACAGTAGGGATGAGCGTCGTTCAGAGGCAGAAACCAAGCGCTGTGGGTGCGGACCTGTGGAAGCCAGCCACCAGCTGAGGCAAGTCGGTAATGGCGACCTTCTTCGAGATGGCCAAGCCCGTGGCACCGCCGAGACCTAAGGGTGCAGGGTGACCCTTAATGTGAGACTAAGTTGTCGCAGCACGTGCAGTGGAGGTTGAGCGCGGGCGTTACCAGAGATGAGCGCCATCTGGGCAAGCACTTCAGGCGATGGCGCAATGTGGCTCAGCGTGGCTGCTACGCCAATGGCCACACCAACTTGGCCAAGGGTGTTGCCCAACCTGGCAGTCTTTTGGTTGGACAAGCACCTGTACAGACAAGATGACATTTAGAGTGATTGAGACTGAGCAATGCTACACCCAAAGGGGACTTACGCAAGGGCGCCGATGCAGGAACCGGCGGAGACGAGGCCGGCAAGAGAGTGGAGGGACTGGGGTCCGTAGATTGACTGCGCCGCGAGAGCTCCGCCAATGAAGAGGCCGGTGGGGATAGTATACAAGTAGCCGTAGTCCTTGGGGTCGCCCTCCCTCTTGAACATGTCCAGCATCCTACCAGTGACCTGCAGGCATTGGCGACGTTAATGATCGATCAAGGCGTCGCACTAACATGCGACTGCGAGTGCACCTTGAATCCGCCGAATACGTTGACGGCGGACATGTACACGGCGCTGGCGGCTAGAAGGCTGGGCATGTCGTCGGGCAAGTAGCCTCCGCCCATGAGATGCAATCCACCAATGCCCACAACGCCAGACACGGCGTTGGTGACCGACATCAAAGGCGAGTGGAGAGCCGGGGTCACTCCCCAGACGACCTGTGCGATTGGTTGAGCGAGTTCCTAGGGACCACGTTGCACGAGAGGGGGAGAGGGAGGGGGGGGGGGCAAACCTGATAGCCCACAATCGAAGCCAGTGCAAACGTCGTCAGGGCAGTGTCAAAGCCCGGCGGCGAAAAGGTGCCCAGCGCTGATGAGTAAGAGGTGAATATGAGTGCAGTGCAGCTTTGGGCATGCACGGGTCAAATTCGAACCTAGCGCAGCAGTGAAGGCGGCCGATGTCATAGTGATGTTCTTGAGTGCGGCCTTGTACGGATCCTGCACTAGCTCTTCCTTCTTTAGCTCCTTAACAGCTTGGTCTGCTGCCGCGGCCATGGCTTCATGGACGGAGGCAGAGGATAGGTCAGTGAGTAGCTGTGGACACATTGAACCCAACGTGCGTACCTTGCGCGACCGCAGGCTGAGCTGGCTTTGGTGCAGGCCAAACGAGCTGCCCGTTATGAAGAACAATAGAGCCTCTCACGACCTTTGTGTAAATAGCAAGAGATGAGATTGAGGCAACGCGTTTACGGTTAGAGAAAAAGTGAGAGAGTGGGGTCTACCTCGTCCTCGAGATTGATCCCGAAAGCGTTCTTTGTCCCATCGGCGGGCGTCAGAGAGAGCAAGAACTTTGTGATGTTGTTCGAGTAGAGAGTTGACGATTGCGTGGGCAGCTGGCTGGGCAGATCGGTGAGGCCGATGCAAGTTATGTCCTGGAGCACTTGATGATTAGCGCATTCATGCATGTACATGCGGAGAGTGAAGCAAGAACTGACCTTGTAAGTGTAGATCTCTCCTGGCCTGGTCACTTCAATGTTGCCTCCCGTTTCTGCGGCTAAGTCAACTAGAACGGAGCCCGGTTTCATCGCGTCCACCTGCCATCAACATACAGGGTCAACCAACTACCAACTACCAACTAATTAATGGGCTTGAAAGAGCACACAAACCATCGCCTTGGTGATCAGCCTTGGAGCTGGCTTGCCTGGAATGAGAGCCGTAGTGATGACGATATCAACTTCCTGCGGGGGGTATCAAAAGGTGCTTAGGAAGGGACACAAGAAATGAAGCAGGCAAGAGGTGTCCACCTTGAGCTGCTTGGCGAACAGGGCCATCTCTGCTTCGATGAACTCCTTCGACATCTCTTTGGCATACCCGCCGCCTCCTTCCCCCTCTTCCTTGATAAGCACCTCCAGAAACTCGGCACCCAACGATTGCACCTGGGCAGCCGTTTCCGAAAGTGAGATGATGAGCAACATGACGCGGAGCGGGGACGCACAGCGCACCTGTTCTCTAGCAGCCGGTCTCGTGTCGAATGCTCGCACAATCGCGCCCATGCTCCTGGCTGTGGCAACTGCAGACAGGCCAGCTACGCCCGCGCCGATCACCAGCACCTTTGCAGGTGGTACCTGCATTGGACAAGGAGTTGGCCTCTTGAACACCTTGTGGCGGGCTTGGGGGAGAGGAGGAGGGGGGGGGGCAATAGCGAACGGACCTTTCCTGCGGCAGTTATCTGGCCAGTGAAGTATCGACCGAAATGGTTCGCAGCAAGTACTGTCCGAAGCAGCACATGGTGGCTTGGGGTGAGGGAGGCGGCGCCAACGCGGAAGGGAAAACAAAGGAAAGAGAGAAAGGGCGGGAAAGAGTGGAGGCGCACCAACGGATTTGTATCCTGCGATGTTGGCCATGGAGGAGAGAGCGTCGAAGGTCTGGGCGCGCGAGATGCGAGGTATGGCGTCCATCGCGAAGACGTTGAGTCCCTTATTCTGCGCCACCATGCGATCGACGAGATCTCGGTTCTGGGCGGGCCACAGGAATGAGATGAGGGTCGATCGATCCTTCAGCATCTCCACCTCATGCCTCCCGAGTTCCTTGTTCTCCAGCGGTGGCCTCACTTTCAGCACGATGTCGGCCGCAGCGAGGGTCTCGGTCGAATTGGCCGCAATCTCAGCGCCATTGGCGACGTACTCCTCATTGAGGAACTTCGCGTTGAAGCCTGCGTTGTCTTCTATGACTACCTTGAAGCCCTGCTTCGTGAGCAGTCGCGCATTGGCAGGGCTAATCGCTACACGTCGCTCGGTGTGATGTATCTCTTTCGGCACGCCGATCGTGAGCCGCGAGTAGGGCACGCCGCCGTTCGATGCAGACGACACAGCTGACGCCGAGGGCCTTGTCGTGAAGTACGCCCTCCCTGGCACGTAGCTGCCAATCCTCTTGAAGAGCGATAGATTCGGGGAGCTTGCGCCGCCCAAGGGCAGACAGGCTCTGGCCTTCATCTTGTTCCCTTGACAGAGCGCCAAATCTACAGATCCACGCAAGCTCTCTGTTGATCTTAGTCTACACGACGCGCCAAGCATCTATGTGAGCCGAAAACGCATGCAAGAGCCATAACAGTACAACATACAGCTCGCTACTGCTGAACGCCCCTCACCAAGTAGTTTTGGCTCACAAGGTTGGCCTTCTTCTTGAAGCCTTGCGTTGCTGGCGAGCAGTTGTGGTTGTGGTGGTGTAGTGGTGAGTGGTGTATGCACACGCCAGGGTGACTTTTCACACCTCTTGACGAAACGTTCCAATTCGCGGTTCAATTCCACCACCAATCCACGAAGAGCACAAATATTAATAAATGTTTTTATGGCTGTGTTCAAAATTGTACAAAATGTTTGCCGCCGCTGTGCCTTCATGCTCTGCGACTAGTTGGTGCTCAGCGTCCCTCGCTCCCTGCTCTCTTCCACGGCGAGTGCTGGTGAAGATGCAGATGAAGAAGCTGTTCGCCGCCTGTGCGCGGCCTCGAGGTGGTTGTTGTTGTCGCTGTTGTGGTCCTTCTCGTCGAGACTCTTCTCCAGGTCCTGGCTGCTGATGATCTTGACGCCCGCCTGTCGCATCCGCTCGCTCATGGCCTTGATCCCGTCGTTGTCCACCCCCTTGCATCCATCCGACACCACGTAGACGTTGTAGCCCAGCTCTCGACCCTCGAGCGCGGTGAAGGCGACGCAGTAGTCCCACGCGAGGCCGCACAGATAAATGTCCCTGACGCCCTCGGCCCGCAGGATATCGTGCAGGTTGGTCTTGTTGAGCTTGGCATTGTCGTAGAAGGCCGAGTAGCTGTCGACCTTCGAGTTGGTTCCCTTCTTGACGAAGGAGTCTTCGTTCTCCACCTTGAGGTCCTTGTGCAGCTTCCAGCCCCATGTCCCCTCGACACAGTGCACCGGCCACAGCTTCTGCTCCATCTCTGGCAGCTTCTCCGGACCCTAGAATGCAATCGAGTAGGTAAGATGATGACGTTCACTCCCGCAGGTGCGTGTGTGGTGGTGGAGTGAGCAAGGGGAAGAACGGACCTGAAGTATGACCGTATCGAACATCTTGGCTTGCTCAGGCTTGATTGGCGACTTCTCGTGGAACGGATGTTTGCTGGCGTTAGTGATGAAGGAGCAATGGTCTTCTGGGTGGCTGTCTAGAGTCCACACCACCTTTCGCCAATACTCGTGCGCTCGAAGCTTATTGACCTGCAATAGACAGCAAAGTGAGCCTATCACGCTAGCAAGAGAGTTGGCGCACTACTAAGCGTGTGACCAAGAACTTCTAGGGCGGTATTAGTGGACGACTCATAGAGCGGTAACGCACCACAGGAATTACGTCGAGGGCTTCGTGGCCAGACGGGCACGACCTGATGGCCAAGCTGCCCTCGATGAAGTCGTTCTGCAAATCGATGAGCAGGAGCGCAGCCGAAGATCGTTTGTGTGCCTTCTTCATGTGGGCCTTGTCCCCGGACGCGTCGTCTATCTGTGGTCATAAAATCAAATCCTCTGAGCTTGTGTGCGAGCACAAAGTTGAATTGGTTGCGCACCTGAGATGTGTGGGTCTTGAAGTTGCCGGTCTCCATCTTGTAGCCGTGAGGCCTGTCCTGGTAAATTTCCTTTGGTTGCCTCAAATCGCTCTTCTGCGGAGGTACGCTTGTCATGAGCCGCGATGCCACAAGGATCTGTGCGCAAACAGAGTTGCCTTTAGTCCCTTTTGCGATGCGGCGATGGAGGATTTGAAACGCGAGGTTGTAAAAATGAAAACGATGAATGCCAGCTCACGAAGCGCAGACCGCAACGTACGCGATGAGTCGAATCGAGAGTGGATTTTAAGTAGGAATTGGGACCCTCTTATTGGGGAATGCTTCAACCTCTTGTCGATTGCACGAATGGCAAGATCCGCTAATCTTCTCCTTTCTCCTGTTGTTCTCTTTCCTGGTCCTTCGCCCCACGAGTCACAGCCCAGGGTCCTGTCGACACTCCCTAGAATTTCCCCGACAGACAGGCCTCGCGCAGCTCCCGCCCAGCTCCCGTACTCGAGCGTCCAAAAGCCGTCGGCTGAACCGCCCAATCGGCAGCCCAAGGTCCCAACGAGCGCTAGAGAAAAAGCGAACGAAAAGAACCCGCACGCGGCGCCACAGTGTCCACAGTGTTGGGGCAACTCTTTTGTGCTGATGCAGAGCTACAACAGGCTCGCTAGTCTTCTTCGTCTTTCACGTCGTCGAAGCCAAGGTAGATGCTGTGTACATCGTTCTCTCCGAAGGGCTTGGCGCAGCCCGGGCATTTCCTGTGTTGCGCGAGGGGTGTTAGATGCAGGGGGGCTCATCGACAATATAAGTTGGGCTGAGGGGAAGCATCAAGGCGTACCTGTTGCGCAGCTGCAGTCTGCTCTTCACGCACGGGTTGCAGAACACGTGGAAGCAGCGCGTGATGACCGTATCCTTCATGTTGTCGTTGCAGACGGGGCATCGCAGCATTTTCTGTTTTGAGTGAACATGCGTGAGACAGAAGAAGATCAGAGTGCTGGCGAAGGGCAAGAATCGAGCACAAAACACATGAAAGAGGGACGTACCCGGAGCGTGCTGACTTCTTCCTCGAGCAGAGTATCGACCGACCCTCTGGCCGACAGACGCTCAACCTTTCTCTTGAGCGTGTTCCTTTCCTCCATCAGGCGGGAGATCTTGTCCTCTCCTCTTTCAAGCGCGCTGCTCTGTTCGTCCAGCTTCTTCTTGTATTCGGCGAGAGCGGCAGTCGCTTGGTCCTGCAGGCAAAGCGCGGTGAGAGCCGGCCTCTTGAGCGTAGCAAGATTAGCGCAGCGCGTTAGGTACCAGCTTGGCCTTGAACTCCACAAGCTGCTGTGCAGCGTCCCTAGCGGCCCTCTTGTGAGCCTCAATCAGGTTGGTGAACGAGGAGATCTGTTCGTTGGCCTTGATCATCTGTTCCTCGATCATCTTGGCCTTCGTTTCCTCTCGCTTGAGCAGCTCCTTCTGCTGCTCATATCTACATGATCGAGTGTGAAAGGGATGTGAGTCATGTCGCATAAACGATCAAGTTCTTGAGGGGCAAAGGCAAACCTTTCGCCCGCGAGCTTAATTTGGAACTGGAGCTGTTTCGTCTCCTCTCGAAGCTGGTTCTGCAGCTGCTCGGACTTGATCCTCTGTAATCGTGTGAACAAGGAAAGGCTAAGCAAGCGCGGTCAGAGGGCGGTGAATAGCGGGACGTACGTCGGACATGAGCTTGGTGGTGGTCTCGTCCTTGTCGGATAGCTCGTGCAGCAACCTCGTGTTTTGCTCCATTGTGGACTCGAACTCTTTGGAAATGACCTCCATTTCCGACAGATAGCTGCACGAACAACAATCGTTGCACAAATTGTCAGCGACATCAGCAACAGCACAGCCGGCTGCACGAGGAACATACGCCGCGTTCTCCGCTTTGGTCGCGTCGAGTGATTTCTGGAGCTCTCGGATCGATTGGTCTGCTTTGGACAGCAAGCGCGGATAGTCCTTCTCCTGTGGGGGAACGATTCAGCTTGGAGCCACGTCACCGTGTGAGTTAGCCACTGAGACAGGGTACCTTGTCGTGCGAGTGTTGGTGGTGGTGATGCGGGTGGGGCGATGCAGATGAGGATGAGGAAGAGGAAGAGGAAGAGGAAGACGAGGATGAGGACGAGGACGGCCCAGAGGGTGCGGGAGCAACAAGCTTGTTCTTGGGCTCGTATTTGGCGAGGCGAGATTTGAGATAGGTGTTCTCATCGGCCAGCTTGCGCTCATTACGTCGAATCTCATGCAGCTCGCGCTGTTCCCTAGGCAGGCTTTCGGTTATCGATCTCAATTCCCTCTGCGCATCGTCGTGTTTCCTAAGCACGAGAGCATGAAGAGTCAACCCAACAGTCAAAGGCGCGGAGAAAGAAACGCGCTCACCTCTTAAAGTCGTCCATCCCTCGCTGGAGCACCTTGACTTTCTCTTGCAGCTCTGCAACTTCAGGAGCCTGAGAGAAAACGGACTGGAACGTTCAGTAACGCCGGGGAAAAAGGTGGGCGATGAGGAGAGGGAAGCTACCCTTGGCTCGCTGGTGTGAGCTCTCTCAGGCTCCCTGCCTCGTTCCTTGTCCTTCTGTTCCCGGAGCTTTTCGAGCTCTTTTCGCAACTTGGCGCTTTGATCCTGGAGCGTCGCGATCGTCATCTTGAACTCGTTGATCAACTGCATCCGGATGGTTGAGGTGGCGTATTAGGGTGACCGGCGGGCAGTGGCACTGGCAGCACAGTAAGGCAGGACATCATGGTGATGGTGATATATTACCTGCTGGCTCGGGAGTGATGCCTTCTTCTGCTCTAAGCGATAGATAAGGTTGTCTCTCTCGCCTCGTATGCGAGCGAGAGCTGCATCCTTCTCTTTGATCTCCTTCTCCAGCTCCTGCCGTCTGGCTTGTTCGTTTTTCTGCGGTTGAGGGTGATCGATGCGAGCATAGGTAAGAGAGGCGAGATACGAGGAGACACTGACCATCAGACAGGAAACGCACCTGAGCCCGATCCTTCTCCTCCCGCCTCTCCTGCTCTAGAGTAGCAACACTCCTCTGCAGCTGCGAGCACAATCCTCTCTGCGACTCGTAATCCATCACAGCCATCTGCAGATGCGTCTCTAGCATCCTGAAAGCAGGCGATGTGCGGACGACGTGTTCCGGCAGATTGAGCAGCTGCAACCGCAACTGGGTCAGCGCCGGCTCAGCTCCAAGACCATCAAAAGCAGGTGGCAACAAATACCTTGTCATTAAGTTCGTTTAGTTCGTTCTTCAATTCCGCGCGGTCTTGGCGCAGTTTCTGTATCTCCTTCAGCCTGTTCTCTTCCACGGTTCTGGCGTCGGCCAGCTCTTCGCGTATCTTCTGCACCTCCTCTGGAGCCTGGATGTCACAGCAGTCAGGAAATGGAACATTGCCATCGTTGTGTTTGGGTTTTGTTTGACACGTTGGACAGCTTACCTCATGCGAGCCAAGAGAAGGCGATGACGAAGACGAAGACGAAGTGGAAGCAGCTGCAGCAGGGGCCGGTGCATTTGCGGCAGCCGTGGCCGCCTTAGTCTGCGCCTCTTGCAGCGCTTTGTTCTGAAAGGAGGCAAAATGCAAAGCTGAGGTAAGGATCCGCTCTAAAATGCTGACAAACAAAGAACGCTCATCTGATAAGCACCAATCTCTCGATCCTGTTGTGGCACGTCGACAGATCTGCCTTGAAATCTTCGATGTCCATAGTGAGCACCCTTATCTTCTGCTCAGCTTGCACCCAACCTGGTCGCATACGAAGATGGTGAGGCCTGCACCTGTGCTCGTTGCCCCCTTCACTATGAATACAAATCAAAACGGCGCACTCACCTGTCTTGGCGCTCGAATATCCTCTGCTCAGCTCCATGTTCTTGTGTTGCAGCTTGGCGACAAGCTTGTCCAAACCGGCCACCTGCTCGCGCAGCCCATTGCTCTCTTCCACCATCACTCGCTCAAGACTCGCTTCATTGTGGAGGGCAAAATGAGTAGGAAGTCAGGAGATCTGTGCACAACATGCAAGAGTGATCTAGTGGATTAGCGGGGGGGGGGCACTTACCTGCATCTTGAAGTCGTCTGGCCAGGTCGTCGCTCCTTCGCTTCTGCTTCTGCAGCGCGTCACAAACCCTTATGAGGATTTGTTTCGTAAACGAAGATCGTCGCTCGAGCGCGGGGTCAATCCGCTGCTTGAGCAGCAGTTTTTGGTACTCCTCGTCCCTAGCCTCGGCTTCCTCTTCATCAAGCTCCTGCTCATCTTCGTTGCCAAGCTCTTTCTCCTTCTTGATATCTTTTCTTTCTTCCTCGTTCATCAAATCCCCCTCATCGCCCAGCAGCATCTGCAGGAAGCTTCGTTCATCTTCCGGAGGATGGACCCTCCTCGATTCTGTCGGTGAAGAGATTTCGGGTCAGGACAGGAAAGCACTGACACAACGGCAGGCGATGGTACCTTCTCGCAAAATTTCATCCACCGTAGCTGGCTCGATTGTAGCCAGCACAGTGTGCAGGTTTTCATCGAGCTGCACCGATCGAGAACCAGCGTATCATTTAGTTGTTGGCACGCCAGCCCAATCTGATGTAGCAATGGGGGGGGGCTGACGTACCGAACTCCAGTGCTGCGTCACGTAGGCGAGCCCGTTGCTTGATTCCCTTTCCTTAGCCTCAACTGTGCGCAGCTTCGTCCGCAAGGAAGAAATCTCTTCCTTCTTCTCTTTGAGCAGGGTCGAAAGAGACTGATTTTGGTACTGCAGGAGCTCGAGCTCGCTCTATGACCATCGACGTTAAAGAATGCGGTTACTCTCTACCTACCATAGCTTCGTGGCTCGATTTGCCGTGTTCAATCATTCAAGCAATCTGCGCACCTTTTCGCCAGCAGCGCCGAATGTTACTCCATAGCCCACCGCGGCCATGGTGGCGCCGCCACCTCCAGAGCCGCTCGCTTGGAAGGAGCGCTTCTTCGGCGGCGGGTGCGAGGTAGCGGCCGGCGTAGAGGCCGACAGCTTCCTCTTGTTGTTCGACATCTTGATCCAAAAAAGCCGCTGAAAAAGAATGAGAAAACGGCCTTTGCTCATTCTTTATTTTTGGTCCGCTCGGGTGACGACGTTCAGCAGAGACCACAACTCACGAGTGATGGGGCAGTCCAGCTCTTCGTTTCTTTCTTCTCCCCTCGCCAATCTCTCCCGCTTCTCCGCCACTACATTCACAGTTTAACGGCCCTGCTTGATGGTATGCTCCCAGCTTACGACCCGCTCTAGCTCAAGCTCGGCCAAGACGTTTCCCCCTTCCTCATCCCTGATTCGGTCTAATCATCCTACTCGTTGCCTACATCCTCGACCATTGGCCCCACAGCATCACGGTGTTCCCCAATTTCAGGGACTTCGGCATGCGCACCCTCATCGTTGGCAGTTCGAGCATGTTCCACAGTCTCGACGAGTCGGGATGAACCCACCCGTCTGCAAGACCATCAAGTTGGAGGATATGGCCGCAACCTTGGCCTCGTTCCTTGGTGCTGAATTGCATCCCCTCCTGGCCACGCATTCCCCGATTATCCTCGTGCCCTTGTGCACCTGCCATACCGCGCTGATGTCGCATTTGTCGTGGTTTGACGGCGAGTGGAGTCATAATCACCAACGCAAAAGCTATTCTCTAACGAACTGAACGCCCTTAACACCGCCGCAGCTCTCGCAGCTCGTGGGTTGACAGCGCACCCAGGGGCCACCTTCCAAGTGGTCAGATTCGTCGTGGTGCGGAGGCGCGGCGCCAAACGAGGACGCGTCAGAGTCCGGACGAAAGCCAGCTCTCGGAGGCATAGCCAGGGCGTACGGAGTCGGCATCATCACTGCCCTGGATCGGCATCACGTATGTGATGGTAAGCAGCAATGGAGCGTGGTTGCAGATCGAGAAAGGGATGACGTACACTTCGGGCGGGTTGATGCTCGTGTTGCCTGGGCCAAGACCGTCCCCTCCCTCTTCGTCTCGCCGCAGGAGGGCGTAGCTGTGTTCGCCCTCGCGGGCGTTGCGCCTCCGCTTGATGATGAGGGTGATGACCAGTCCGGCGATGATCAACAAGAGCCCCGCGCCCACGACCGAGATGCCGGCGTAGAGCCAGGTGCGCTTGCGATGGTGCGCCGCCGCGGAACCTCGCACCTCCCTCAGCGGCACCAGCGTCACGCTGAAGTCGTCGATCGCCATCGCATTGTCCTTGCCCTCTCTGTCCCTGTGGGTCCATCTGTACATCATTGATTATCTGCGTGAGCGTTGTCATGGTGTTGGCCACTACGACCATCAAGTGTGGGAACATGCTGCCGCACCTGAGCTGAACAATCTTGTCCTTACCCCAGTCGTCAATTGCCAGGGTGTGCTTCACGGCCCGACGATTGGCCGGCTCGTTGCCGTTCAACTCTCGCTCCTCTCCGCCGGTCACTGGGCTGGTGAACGACAGTCTGTCTTTTACCATCCAAAGGCCGGGCGTCTACGCCGCTGCCGTCAGCAGAGGGGAGGAAAAAAAGTGTAAATAAATTCAAATAACAAAATACGAACCACGTCGAAGTAGCCCCACTTCTGGCTACGCTCGTAGTCCGCCGTGGACACAATGCTGTAGTCGAAGACCAACATCGAGGTCCTGTTGAAGCCGCCCGCGCTCCACTGCTCGCCGTTGTACGCCACCTCCAGCGCCCACAGATACGTCTGCACATTGGGGGGGGGGTGCATTCACAGGTGAGCCCACCTAGGCCGAAGGAGGAGGAGGAGGAGAAGAAAGACAGCGTACGTCGGAGGTCTCGTGTTCATTGACCATGAAGGCCACGCCCCAGGCGGTGTGGTGCATCTGGTTAGAGGTGAGCGACCCCAGCGCGCGCTCCCCGCTGCCCTCCTGCCCGTAGCTAAACAGGCCGCCGCCCTGCGCGGAGGACCCGGTGCTGGCGCTGTAGGTTGGACGCGACGTCCACCAGCCCGCCTCCAGGCCGCTCTTCTCCTCGGGCGGGAATGGGTGGTCCGTGCCGTGCGCTGCCAGGCCGTCAAAGTTTTGCGCGTAGGTCTGGCCCGGCAGGAGCACGATGGGCACGGGCGGCGTCTGGCTGTCGCCTGCCCCTCCTGCTGGTCTGACATCGGCCGCGCCAGAGGAAGCCGCCATCATCAAGAAGAAGATGATGATGGCGTATAGGTGCGGCAGAAGTCGCTGGTGAAGAAGTGGGGGCCTCTTGGCAAGTACTGTGTTGCCGTCCATGCTAGCGTCTGAGGGTGAGGTGAAGATGTAAGTGCCGGACAAGCCGGTGCGGGTCCAGGACATGAGCAAGAGCAGCGAAAAGCCTCCCGCTTGCCTCGGCCAACCACACGAAAGTCGACCCAAGCGTTTGAAAAAATAATAAAAAGAAAAACAGCAACAACGCAAGATGGAAGGGGGCGGTGTCGAGATGGACGGGGCTGGAGGACTGGTGAACACGTACACGCTGGACGATACGCTGGCCAAGTTGAAGCTGCAGCATCACCAAGAAGCAGGCGAGGGGAAGAGGCAGGCCGAGGCGGTCAATAAGATTGATTTGTGCAAGCAGTTTCTGGGGCCTGAGGGCGCCCAGACGCTGGCCGATGCCCTCACCCGCGCCTCCCTCCACGGCGATGCACCCCCAACGCCACTGGCCTCCGCTCGCAGCGTCCTCCTCGGTGCGGACGAGGTACGTTCGCTTCCATATATTATTCTTATTTATTCGATTGTATTCTTATTTTATTTAAAATAAATAAATAATAAATAATAAATAAATACAGAAGCTCTGCTGACCTGTGGAGGGGCCAGATCGGACCGGAGGGAGCGATGGCGATCGCGGCGATGCTGCACCATAACAAGACCCTGCGCACCGTGTTTCTGGGCTGCAACGACATTGGGCCGAAAGGCGCGGCGGCGTTGGCCGACTCGCTCAAGGAGAACAAGACCGTGGAGGGTTCGTGCGTGGTCTGCAGTGTGGCTTGCCAGATCTCTTGTCTGGGTATGACTGACCGTGTGTGTGTCGTGTGTCGTGTGTCGTGTGTCGTGTGTCGTGTGTTTCCACATAGCGCTGTGGCTCAAGCGGAACTCGATCGGGCCGGAGGGAGCCAAGTCGCTCGCTCGCGTATTGGCCGGCGACAACGACGCCCTGCTCCTGCTCGACCTTGTCTTCAACAAGATCGGACCCGAGGGCGGTCAACACCTGGCCCGCCTCCTGTATGCCGGCTCCCGTCAACGCACACGCACACGCACACGCACATAGCACACACCACCGCACTAACGGTCGGAGCGCCCAGGGAGGACGAGCGGTGCAGGCTGGAGGTGCTCTTCCTGGGCGGCAACGCGCTTGGACCGGCCGGCTCTGCCAGGCTTGCCCACAGCCTGGAGCACAATCGCGTCCTGCAAGGTACGCACTTTGCGCGGTGCGCGGTGGTGGTGATGCGCATGAGCTCAACAACCAACAACAACACCAACCAACAACCAACAACAACACCACCAACCGTGCGACAGAGCTGTACCTGGACGTCAACGACATGGGCGATGAGGGGGCGGCCGCCTTTGCTCGTGTGCTCGCCACCAACTCCACACTGCGGTACCTTAACCCCCCTCCTCCTCCAATAATGCGTCACACTATTTCTCACACTTTCCCCACCACTCGCGACTATAGCGCGCTGACGCTTGCGAGCAACGACATCGGAGACGATGGCGCGGCGGCCTTGGCCGAAGCGCTCATCAGCAACCCCAACTCGGCCCTCCAGATGTACGCTTCATTCCCTTCTCCCCCCCCCCTCTCTAATTGAGCTGACCGACGACTCACCGGCTGCGGCTGCGGCGCGCACAAGGCTCAACCTGGGCTACCAGAAGAGCACGGTGGTGATGGGCGGCCGACCCAACCGGATCGGCGATGCGGGCGTGGCGGCCCTGGCGCGCATGCTGGCGACCAACCGCACGCTGGTGGCGCTCAACCTCAACAAGAACCAGGTCACGCGGGTCGGAGCCAGGGCGCTGGGCCGCGCGCTCGCCTCCAACCGCAGCCTGCGCGTGCTCGAGCTCAGGGCCAACTACCAGCTCGGCGACGACGGCGTCGTGGACCTGCTCGACGCCATGGCGACGAACGACACGCTGGCCGCGCTCGACCTGGTCGGGTGCCAAGTGGGCCTCGTCGGGCTGCGGCGGCTCCTGCGCCATGTCGAGACGCACCCCAGCCTGATCAGCGTTCACCTCGGCGGCTGGAAGACGCGCCAGGCCGACGACGACGATGGCGGTGATGAGAGCAACGAGGACGACGGCTCGGCGCACGACGTGGCGCGCCGTGTCATGGAGCAGGTCAAGGCCAACCGCGACAGGCACGGCCACTCTGCGCAGCAGCTGTTCAACAGCGTCGGGCGCTGCTACGGCGGCAAGAGGGTCGAGACGTGGCTGGATGACATCCGCAGCATCTACCGCGTACCCAAGACGGACCACACCGACGGCGACGCCGACGCACAACCCAAGCCGACGGCGAAGAAAGAGGTCAAGAAGAAGAAGGTGTGGGCGAAGGTGAACAACAACAGCAAGCCGAAAGCGACCACTCCTTCGACGACGACGGACACCACACCGGCTGGTGCGGCTGGTGCGGCTGGCGCGACGGTCAAGCCAGGCCTGCGGCTGTCGGTCGAGAGCTGCCTGCGCACGCGGCTGCTCAACCAGTTGCGCCACAACCAGCAACTCGCCGCGCGCTTGGCCGTCGAGGAGGACAAGAACGACATCACGGGAAGCGACGCGTCGTTTGCGTGGGCCAAGGCCCTCCCTGGCGACGGCCTTCGCGCGGCCCTGCAGCAAGCAATGGCCCAGGGCAAGCGACTCGAGGCCCATCCAACTGTGACGGGAGAGGAGGGCGAACCGCGTCTGTAGAAGTTATGGCAAAAGAACAACCTTTGCATTGTTACTGTGGTGCCACGCCCTACGCTGTACATCGTGTAATCCACCACAGGTCTGTCTTGCCTCCTCCTCCAACGCTCACGAGAGCACTACGGGGATGTAGTACGTGAGGTACAGGTCCTGCAGAGGCGTGGACTCGATAAGTTAGGGCACTGGCGCACGGCGCGAGGAATAAATGATGATGAAGTGGTGAAGTGGTGCGCGTACCTCGAGCAGGACGTGAAGCACGAGGGCAGTGTTTTCGATGATACACAGGATCACGTTGGTGGGACTCACTTGGTAGCTGTACAGGAAACGGTTGAACTTCTTGATGTCCACCTTCACCTCCGCCGTCTTGTCCTGGTCTCTCCGCGGCGGACTGCGACCCTCTGCACGTGCGCGTGGTCGTGAGCGCACTCTCGCGAGGGTATGGCCGGCTAAAGCAAGGCTTGGGCATACCAATCTGAGGATGGTCGAGGTTGGTGTAGAAGGTGGCGACCGAGACCATGTCGGTCTCCACCTTGAGCGTCAACTCGCCGGCCATGTTGGCTGTGATGATGAAATAGTCGTGGATGTTCTTCATCCGGTCGATGACGTTTCGCAGCAGCTTCAGCGGCGGCATCATGATCCACACCTGGGCGAAAAACCAACGTGCAACGGAAGCTCAGCCGGCGCAGAAACGAAAGAAAAGAAGAGAGTAGTAGACGCACCTCAGGATCGGGAAGGTGAGGTTCCTGGAACTGGGCCAGCTGTGAGGCCGATAGGAGCTTGACAGGTATGTCCTGCAACACAGTCATCATCTGATGGCTCTGCAAGCAGAAGATGAAGAAGAAGACGCAGACAAGTGAGGACTCAGAAGAGACTCAGGGAAGAGCGACGCAGATACGTACTTGCTGGATCTCGATAAGAATGCTGAGGTAGGGGATGTTCTGCTTCTTTGTCAGCTTCATGGTGATGTCCGTCGCCAGCTGGCCTGCACGATGGGAAGCGGGTAAGGCCAAATAAAAAGAAGAATCAAAATAATAATAATAATAATAAATATACCAGACTTGAGGCCGCGTAGAACGTTGTCCAGGCTCAACTCGAAGGCGATTTCGTTGTTGTTCTTGCTCTCAATTCGATAGTCGTCGAAGAGAGTGGCCTGCAAGCTTGCGATCAGAAAAATCAAAATATTGAATGAAACATGTAATGGCGTACCGCGTTGACACCCGACCACACTTGCACTCCATCGGTGATGTCCGAAGTAAGGATAAACTCCACCTTCTTGGGGGTGAGGTGCACGACGCACGTCTTCCCAATCTTATCGAGCGTCTGGATGAGCTCTGCAAATTTTTGCGTCAAAAGCTGTCTGGCAAGAATTCAACATTCGGTTTACATACTAATGAGAAGATTAACGTTGATCAGCTTGGAGACGAAGCGCATCTTGGATCTTTCTGGCACTACTCGCCCAACGGTCAGTCGTCTCTTGAGATTTTGATTTTTTTTTCTCTCTTCTTGCTAAATTTAGCACCAATTCCTAGAAAAATTGTAATATATTTGAATTTATTGGAATATTTTAAAGTCATTTCTTCTTTGTCTTGGTGTTCTTCTTGCTTGCCTTTACAGGAGTCTTGGTGGCGGGCTTGCTTGCTGCGGGGTTCGGCCGGTGTTGCCTCTTGCCGACGATACGTGCGTCTTTGATTTCTTTCTTCTGGCGCTCCTTCTCGGCTCTCTGCTTCTTCCACAGCTCCCGCGCGTCATGCAACACGCGTTCCCTCTCCACAAATTCCCTGTACGCATCGGAATCTAGCGCGGCGTGAGCGTCGTGTGACGCATGTGTGCGTGAGTCGTGTGCTGAGTTGTGCAGTGACTTACCATTGGCCAGGTGAGTGAAGAAGATGGATTCTTGGCGGTCCTGAGGCCCTCGCTCCTTGGTTTTGGCTTTGTACACGGGGTCGTCTTCGTTCATCACCAGCGGCTCCCAGAACCGCGACATCGGAGCCTTGCTGTGCGGGATCTGCTTGTTCTCCTGCACGCGCGTCGTGCGTCGGAAACCGTGGTTACGTTCCGACCCACTGCACGCATTCATCGCGCCAGCGACGCTGCGTACCATGATCTCTTTGCGGAAGTGGAGGAACAGCGGCTTCTTGTACCGACCGAAGCCCAGCTGGCCCAGGCTGGCCAAGATTCGACCTACCAGAGGGTACATGTATATTCAATCCAGCATCAAATAACATGAAGGAGGTGGTGGACGTACTGATCCTGAGGTTGTTGTGTGTCAGGATGTTCATGTTCTTGTAGCGCTCCTGCCACTCCTCAGTGCGCGCCACTTCGCCGGTCTCCACGTTGACCAGTTTCAGGCCGTAGAAGTTCAGCATCAACCTGCCAGCCCCGTGGATCAGCGCGAGCGTGCGCATGTGTGCGCACTCGCGTGTGAAAAGGAGTGAAGAGCGCACTTGTAGGAGAGAAGAACGCGGAAGGCACAGCCCGTGTCCTGGCGAATAAGCGCGGCCTCATCCTGATCGGTACGCATTAGCAAAGACCAGCGGACCAAGCTGTGGCGCGTGTACGTACATAGGTCAGCGCCTCGGAGCTGCCGTTGGTACCACCACTCTCAAATCGGGGGAAGAGCCACTGAATGTAGCTGCAGCGGGGTCAATGCTCACCAGGCGATATGAAAAGGGTCACACTGAACCCCCAATGATATGGAAGCAGGCGTACCCGTGATGACTCTCGAGAAGACGATAGTTGTAGTACCACTTTTCGTGAATGTTGTCCACGTAATCTCCATCTGTGAGCGGGGGAGGGGCTAAGAGCGTGCTCACACTCACACGTCCTTCACACACCCGGGTACCAGGCACGCTGGCGAGACCGTTGGTGTAGAACACATAGTTGAGCAATTGCCAGCTGTGGCGGACGTTGGTGCGCTGCTTGTGGTCGAGACCTCCTCTGCCTCCTCTTCCCCCTGCCACGAACCAAAGGAGTCACCACGTAAGATAGGGTCCAATATTAAATAACAATAATAATAATAATAAGAAAAAGAACACGTAAGACAGAAAAAAACAAAAAAAAAAACAGGAACGCACTCGAGCGCGGAGGATGGCCTGCACTCGCTGCACATGCTCCCTAGTCGTTGTGCCTCGGCCGTTCGAACGACCTTGCGAGCCCGCAGTTTCATCTGCTGGTGCGTCCATGGAGGCAAAATAAAAATGATAAAAAAAGACAAGAAAAGCCATCATAGAAAATCACTCCTGGTGGTTCTCTGAAGCTATTCCAGACTTTTACCTCGTTCAGCACGCCAGGTTGCTCACATCAGCTTGATCAGGTCCTGTAGTGCAACTTACCACGCGCGCCATTGGTCGATCCCAGCCTATCTGAGCCTCGTCCGGCTGCCAAGTCATCTTTTCCGCTGGGATCCCAGCTGGTTCTCTTGTTTTGGAGTTTCGGCCGAAAAAAGCGCCTCTCCTCCCCGACTTTCCACGAGCAGGAGAGGGAATCGAGGAAATCACCCCGAAGGAACAGTGTCAGTTGGCAGATCGACCCTCATTCAAACTCAAGCAAGCTCCGGAAGCACCTTTAAAAAGTGTTCGCCGACAGCCACCCAACTTTTTTATTTTCTCCCCCGCGACACAACACCCTCGACCCCACCACACCGCAGTACAGTACTCTCTGCCAATAAACTGGCTTACCACTACCACACTCCAGCGAACATCACGCAATTCTTCAACCAACCACTAAACAGCAACACTTGCCAACAACCATGAACGTGGAGCTCGGAAGAAACAGACTGCGCGGCATCCTGCACCTGCCCAGCCCAACGGCCGCTGCCAGATTCGCAAGCGGAGTGCTGATGGTTGCCGGCGCCGGCGGCGGGCTGCAGGGTCCGTCCGGCATCTACACCACGCTCAGCCGCAAGCTGCAGAAGAGCGGCGTGCTCGCGCTACGGCTCGACTACCGCCGGCCCAACCAACTCTCCATGTGCGTCGATGACGTCCACGACGCCATTCGCGAGCTCAACACCCAGTACGGCGTCGAGCGAGTCGTCCTCGTTGGTATGTTGGCTCACCCCCCCCCCTCTATTGTACCCTTACAACTCACCGACGTCACTATTCTAGGCTGGTCTTTTGGCGGTGCGGTGGTAATCACTGCCGGCGCGCAGAGCGACAAGGTGATCGGCGTGAGCACGGTGGCGTCGCAGACCTACGGCACGGACGCGGTGGGCGACCTCGCGCCGCGCTCACTGCTGCTGCTGCACGGGACCGCGGACACCTGCCTCAGCGCCAACTGCTCGAAACAGCTCTACCGGCGGGCCAAGGAGCCCCGGAAAATCATCCTGTTCGAGGGCGACGACCACAGCCTCTCGCGCCACTACGACAAGGCCGAGAGCGCGATCTACGACTTCTCCATCAGCCTGTTCAACTCGTGGGGCCGCGAAGGCGAGCAGCAGCAGCAAGAGGAAGCAGCTTCCGCGACCACTTCATCATCAAGCGGCAGCACCGAGAAGAAGCGAAAGCACTCGCTCGGGGGAGGTAATGCGGGCATCATCTAATGGAAGGGAAGAGGAGGTGATGAGGGTGGGATGTGCGCTGAGTGTCAATCGCGTCAGAACATCGAGCGCCTTAGACACCATCAAGGTGGAGGAATCGGAGAGCTATCAGTCTTCGTGACCCTAACTTACTTTTTCTCTTTTGTTCTTCTCTTCACCAATGACACCGCAGGCTCCAGCATGACATCCGGCGTTACGTTCGTCTCCCAAAACAAGAAACCGGTGAAGATCGGGTCGCTTTTGGGCAGTTTGCTCGGGCGAAAGAGAAGAGGGTGCGTGCCAACTCTTCTCTCCTTGGTGTTGTCGTTCGTGTGGTTCGCTCATCATTCATCCGTTCGCCCAACAACAGGTGCAGCGTGCTCCACATGGGGACGAGCCCCTTGCTTTACCAGCGGGACCAGCCAGTTCTGACGGACGACGTCGTGCGATAGTCGCAAACATTGAAACATATTCGAGATCATCACCACCAGCAGAGAACTACTATGTAAGTGTAGCAACATGCAGACGCGTGTAAACATAAAGAGACGGTAATCGCCATACGGACGAGTCACAACTAAAGAGGGAGAGAGAGGGGGTCACTGGCTCTTCTCGGCGTCGTCGCCAATGTTGATCGCCTGCTGGAGTGCAAGGGAACCGCGCCTGAGCCGGGCAATACGTTCCGTTCCTCTTTCGAGGCTCTCCATGTATCTAGAAGAAGAGGGATGTGGGAGTGAGACAGTGCGTCACGCATAACCACACACACACACCACACACACACACCACACAGAGCAAGCAGCCAACGCGCAAGTATGTGTGGATGGTGCACCTGGTGCTGAAGACTTCAAAGTAGTAGTTGGCGCCGTTCCACGCCGACAAAATGCACATGCCCGCTGAGCCGAGACGGAAGAGAGTAAGTAGAGCAGGTTGATGCAAGGGAGAGCCTCCATCGGAGAGGGTGTTGTACCGATGAGGATCGTGTGCGCCCAGAAGTATCTGAGGAAGAGCACCGAGGGCAGCATTGTCACAATCGTGTAGAGCAGCTGGTAGCCTGCATACATACGCGCTCGCGTGAGTACTGGGCGCATTTGTTTGCTCCGAGACCACTGAAAACACGAGCGTGAGAGGCGCGCCAACCAACAAATGCGGCGAGCCTCCGATTGGGGCTGGCCTTCTTGATGAGCTTGCCGATGCCGCCCTTGTCCATGCTGCTGAACCAACGGAACGTGGTTTGGTAGTCCTGCTCTTCAACTTTCTTGGCCGAGATGACTGAACAAGCGAACGAGTGGGAGCGCACTCACGTGATCAGTCTTATCAATTGATACGCGAAGGTCAAGAGCCGCACAGAATGGTGCCTACCTTGGACCTTGATCAGGTAGAGCACTTGCCAAATCAGATAGGGAATGATGGGCAGGAAGACCATCTGAGTGAAGGTGGCGTCCTTCCCACGAAGTGTCTCATACGTGGCAAGACTGTCGCACACACCCCGGCAACTAGTGAGTTGTTGCACGCACGCACACGAGTCGGGCTCGAGGGAGTCGTAGACGCACCTGTCGGGGTCTTCGTCGAGCCATCTTAGAGCGTAGAGCAGGATGTTGGGCGTGAGATGAATGAACAGGGACGTGGTTTTGTCGAGCGAGTGGAAGACGAGACTGTTCCGCCACGCCAGCACCGACCACGCCAATGGGCCTGATGACAACGAAAGAGTGTGAGGGCAATACAGATGATGAACCGGTTGTGGCCAATGATCGAAGAGGACGAGGAGTTACCGGTGCAGAAGGCAAAGCAGATGATAAACATAGTCTCGCTCTTCGGGAAGAAGTGAAGGTACAGCAGGACGAGGATGTTCGCGTAGTAGCAGAAGTCGAACAGGAAGTAGTGGTACTTCTTGCCTCTGCGAGAAGGAGAATCAGCGGTTCGGTCGTGCGCGTGAAGATGTGGCCAAACGGCGAAGCTGGGCTGATACGTACTTGAAGACATACCAACGGATGGTGAGCAGGAGAAACGCCTTCAGCGTGTAGTAGATGGGCACCCACTCGGGGTGACGACCCAACAGAAGGAACGTCAACGCCACATTGGTGACACCTGGGAGGGAGCGTCGTCGCTGCACGTGAGAGGCCGCACAACCAAGCAAGGCCCGGTACGAGAAAGAGGAGAAAGAACGAAAGCGAAAAGGAAAGCGAAAGACAAAGAACGAAGTGAAAAGAAGGGCTAAGAAGAGAGAAGTGTGCGGTACCGGCGACGAAGGAGAACTTGTCTCGGGTCTTGATGAAGGGGGCGCGCTGCATGCCGTCCTTGACGCTCTTCAAGCGGGTCTCGAGTTTGTGCGCGAGCTTCTCGCGGTGGCTGTCCATCTTCTCCTTGAAACCGACAGGGAGAGACTGCAGGGCGTCGGCCAGCGCGTCGAGCTCCCGCATCAGCGCCAGATTAGCGTCCACGAAGGCATCGTTGGTGTCCTCGCTGACGGTTGACGGATTCTCGTCGCGCAGCTCTTCTACCTGCTCACCCGCTCTTGAATCGTTGTGTTCGTGCTTATCGACCTTTTTGTGGTCCATCTTGTGCAATCTTTACAGTACACGGCAGTGTGTGACGTGGCTCAAAGCAAATAACTGCCCATGCCAAGAACTGGCCACCTGTGGGAGCTCATTGCCTGAACCGCGTGGATTCCCTTCACCTCTCCTTCTCTGCTTTCGTGCTTTGCATAGCGAACATTTCTCTCATCATTTCCTTTTCACTGCTTGGAGCCAAACAAAGCAGCTGCGACATCATCACACGAGCACTTGCTGATTCTGTGCAACAAACCTCACAACGATGCACAGGGCACCCCTTCGTCTCGGGGCGAGCAGATCAGGTTTACACACGGCGCTGCATACGGCAAGCTTCGACACTGCATCGCAAATGCTCATTTCCAGGAAAATCGGCACCTCTGCATCGCGCACAGCAGCGTTATCCCACGCCCCCTCACTTCACGTTCCCTCCACTTGCCGCCTCCTCCTCACCTCCACTCGTCTGCCACGGCAACAGCCCCTCTCCAAATCTCAAATCGCCATTTTGCCCTCTTCACGCGGCCGCGGATTCGCCAGCAGTCGGAACAACAAAGAGAATGAAGGCCCATTCGTGAAGGATGCCGAAGGTGCAGGAAACGGCTCTCGACGAAGGGTGGAGGTCAATTTGGCCGAATCGGTGGATCAGGTGGCCATGGGCTACCTCAAGAAGTACGGTAGGAAGGTGGCCATCGATTGGCCCATCCAGGGCCTCAAGTATGGTGCCCTCGGAGCCCTCGCCATCGGTACGATCTTCATCTCCTGAATGCAGTGTAGTAGAGAGCATTCTACAACTGATCTTGTGGGCGACGTAATAGGCGGCGCCGGCTACATGGCGGCTTCGGCATTGGCACAGAAGGCGCGATCGCTGTTCGGTGGACGGGAGGTGGCCTCGTACGATCCATCAGCAGCAGCGGCCAAAAAGAAGGAGGGCAACTTCTTCTCACGTATGCTACAGAGCCACATCCAAGAAACACTGGCCCACGAGGTGTCACGCACCATGAGTCTCTTGGCTGCCATCAACCAGGCGTCGCGACTACGACACGGTACGACACGTGATAGCGAGCCTCTCTCTCTATCTCTCTCTCTACAGCGTTTCAGGTGCACTTTGCCCTTCTCACACCTGTGTTGTTTTCATTCGTGTCTCCCCCATTCAACATGATCGGGACAGAGATGGGAGGCGATGTGATGATCGATATGGAGAAGGCGATGGACAGAGGAGAGTATCTGAACCCGAAGATTGCCGACAAGCATCCACGGTTCGAGATGAAGACCGTGCGGACATGGGAGTATGATGAACATTGGCTCGTCTCCGCGACCGGTACGCAGGCCTGCCCTATGCCCGTGTTGTGCCCAAGCATCTGCCGGCTATTAATTCTGGCATGTGGTCTCGCCGTGAGCAGGTAGGCGAGCTCGCATCTGTGTGCAGGGGTACCTGGACGAGAAGGCCGACCTAGACCGAGAAGTAGAAGAGAAGGCGGAGAGGAGGCAACGAGCCAAGGAAAGGAAGAAGATGGGGCTCAAGCCCGAGGTGGAGACCGAGGGGGACAAGAACAAACAGGCGGAGAAGACGTTCAACTGGCACTTCGTACACATCTCCGTCTTCTTCGACAACGACAGCCGACAGCTCATCCTGACGCACGATGGTATGAATGTCCTACACATCACTCACCTGTAGTCCGATCGTCGTTTCTAGTGCTAACGTGTGATGTTCGTTCTTATGCAGCGGAAGCGGGGGAGGATCTGATCGTCCTGCCCGACGCCGAGTGGCCCGGCCAGGAGCGGTCCGGGCGTGGCGCTCCCCATGGGGCGAGCGCCGACGTGGATGACGCGTGGTCCGACGAAGAAGACGAGGACACCGACGCTCTGCGACAGAGAAGACCCAAAGCGCCGCAGTTCATCGATGCCGAGGTCGTTCAGCCGAAGGCGGCCAACAAGAACAACAAGAAGCGGTGACGCAATCAACAAACGGAACGCAAAGAATGACGTGTTGCTTCTTTTTCTTTTTCTTTTTCTTTTTTCTGTTCATTCTACATCTCGGCGCACGGGCTGGAAGGTTCTTGCAAGTGGGCGCTCGCCCTCTGATCTTGATTCGACGTCGACGGGGTCGTCATCGCCTCTGCTTCGGTCGAGAGTGATATCTTCATCATCTTGGATTAATTTGCATGCCCCCCATTCGGCCGAAGCCTGCCGAAGGCGGCTGGTGGGCCGTTGTGCAAGACCTCAAAGATGGCAACTTCGCTCTCGAGACGATCTCCTTCGGTTTGTTCAAGGTCATCACGGGCACCAACAGCAGCCCCCCATTCCGAATAATCCTCTGCGGCTCCAATTACGAGATTGCCCGCGCGTGGACGAAAGAGGAGGCCCTGCAGGACTGGGGCTGGGCGCAAGCCAAGTACGAGGAGGAGGTGCACCTGGTGGGTTCCACCAAGTTCTCCGATCACCACTTCCTGGCCCTCTTCGAAGCACTCTGGCAGCACGACCACCCAGAAGACGCCCCACAAGACACCAAGAAGGAGGCAGTCTTCTGCCCTGAGCTGTTCGATGGTACGTACGCGGCCACGAGTGCATTCAATCATGCACACCTCCTCACTGGCTACATCCGCGTGTGCAGCTTTGCAACAGAACAAACGGGCAGTTGCGGCAAAGCTGATCTCGACCAAGGGACCAGGCATTCTGCACTCGCCCAATCGACTGGGCGAGCTTCCGCTCCACTTCTGCGTATCGCACGGTAACGTGGACCTCACTCGGTTCCTCCTTTCGAAAGGCGCCGATCTCAACGCAAAGGACAAGACCGGCTGGACGCCACTCCACGTACGCGTTTTTTACAATCTCGCAGCTGCTTTTAGTGGTGTGGGCAGCTCACTCGGCCTCTACCACGCAGATTGCTTGCCATTCTGGGGACCTCCGCATGTGCGAGTTCTTGCTGAGGCAAGAGGGCATCGGCGTGATGGTCATTTCCTGCGACAACACGCTTCCGTTGCACTACCTTGTCTCTCACTCCTTCGAAGCTGAGGAGGTATGTTCAATGCCCACGGCACACGTCAGGCGCAACACTCAGCTGATGATAACACACACACTCTCTCTCTAGGCCCAGTTGCGATCGGTCCTGGCTATGATGGTGGCCAATGGTGCTTCAGTGAACTCGCAGACAGCACAGGGGACCACCCCTCTGATGAGGTACCGGCTTACGCGCCACTCGAAACACAGGAGATGCCAGTTTCCCTAACGATTGCTGTCACCGCCCAGGGCATCAATCAAGCGCAACTTGATTGGCGTCCTCTTTCTGTTGAGCCACGGCGCGGACATAAACCTCTGCGACAAGTACCTACTGGCCACGCTTCTTCTGCTCCTCGCGAGCTTGAAGCACAGTTGCTGATCCACCTTCACTGTGCAGGACCGGAGAAACGGCTCTGCACTACGCGGTGCGAAGCGGTGACAAAAAGGTCGTGAGCATGCTAGTCGACCGAGGGATCAACATTCACCTATCGGGTATGTATCAGTACCTAATGCTCCAGCTATGATGTCGATGCTCAATCTTTTATTGCAGGCGATCAAGGAACCGCGCGTGAAGTAGCCATGCGCATGAACAGGCACGACCTCGTCAAGATTATGGACGTTGGCCTCATGATGAACCCAACCGCCAGGTACACTCGTCTCCCCTCCCTAAGGCCATATGGCTGCTAACCTTTTTCCGATGCTACCACGTGGACTGTAGCGGGTTTGCGTCACCTTCCATGGCGCCGCGAGTGTCGACCGAAGTCGAGGATTTAACTGCCAGCACGGGCGACGATGAAGACGAGGAACAAAGTGACAGCGACGGAGAAGGCAGTGTACGTTGGCCATTATTGCCGCCTCTTTGGATTGCGGCGCACATTCACTTACGCGTGCTTCGTTGTGCTAATTATTGTGTTCAGCGCGGACGTCGAAAGACCTTGAGCGAGATCAATCGTCGAGCGATAGACGACCTCTCGCAACTGGCGGTTGCCTCATCTCCCGGGCACCGGGCTCGCTCGCCTTCGGTCGGCTCCTGCATAGAGGCCTATGGGCTCGCCAACGCCAAACAACTGCGAGAACCCGTCATCGAGCCTAAGCTCGAAGATAGCAACCTGAAGCCGATTGTATTCGGTACGTGGTGTCTTCACATGTCACTATTGCTGGCCAAGGGGTAGTCAATAACCTGTGATCCATTTATTCGCTTTCTGCACCCTAGAGCTCGATCAACCAGCACACCTGTTCAGGCTCACGCGCTACAGCAAACTGACGTCGTGCGATTACTGCAAGGGCTACATCATTTCTATCGTGGCCAAGGACAACTACATGTGCGATGGTACCGTCATGCCTTCTCCTTCTCGGTAGTGGCGCTTTTCGCAAGTCACGATGCGATGTGATGCCTATCGCTTACGCTTCTCACCAACCTCTTTGTGTGTGCCACATCCATCAGTATGCGGTTACGTCGTGCACAAGAAGTGCAGAAAGTTTGCGCTATTCACGTGCAAGTGCGAGGACAGGCCGGATCGGGAGTTCTACAACATCGAGCACCACCCGCCGCACACCAACCCGCTCAACATGTCGGCGCCCGCCAAGCCGGCCCGGGACGAGCTCAAGATGGCCTACTCGGTGCAGATGGACCTCCCGGCCCGCATCAACGAGAGCCGAAAGCGGGAGTCAGTATCGGACGAGTACCCCATCCATCGTACAATGCGGCCAACCGCACCGCAGGCCTCGTCGCTCGCGAACCACACGCAGCCCAGTGCGAGCGACCACATCGGGCGGCGACGCATGCCGTCGCCCCCGTCCGAATTCTCGTTCCCACGCAACCACCCGCTACCGAGCCTGCCGCCCGTTGCGAAGTCTGGCATCGCCGCCAGCAATTCGAGTTCGCTGATCACCGCCGCCCTGCAGTCACTGTCGCCGCGGTCTCAGCCGGCGCGCCAGGTGCTGGCGTCTCTGCACGAGGAACTCACGGTGGACAGTGTGAGGCACGACTCGCCCAGAAGTCGGATCATCAAGCAGGGCGACGGAGACGGAGACGACAACGAACAACCGGCCGTGACTGCGCAGGACGTGACTACTACAACGACGACAACAGCAACGATCGTGCAGTCGGCCAGTCCTGGCGCGAACATGCGACTTCAAGCGTCGGGTAATTGGATCAACCGAACACCGCAGGACGACATCCGACGACGCGAAGCCCGCTTCACGCGCAGACTCACAGAGATCGGGGTGAGGATGAGCCTTTCCACCGACGGGAGCAGCATCGGCATCGGCAGACGCAAGAAAAAGGCCAAGAAAAAGAAGCCCCTGCGCTTCGCCACCGCGGAGCTGGAGAAGATCTTCGACCAGTTCAACGAGATCGACGTTAACCAAGTCGGCATCATCAACCAAGCCCAGCTAGGCATGTTGCTTGTTCTTCTTGAACACCATCGACACCCCACGAGCTGTTGCTGCTCACTCACTCTCTCCTCTTCTCACTCGTATATAGGTGGTAGTCTTGGTGTGCTCATGAGCACGCCGGGCGTGACGGGCCTGCTGTTCAATGCGTTCGACCCGGAGAAGACGAACCGGGTTGACATCAAGATGTACGTCACCGGAATGGGTGTCATGATGAAAGGTCCACTGGATGAAGGCCTCGAGTGTACGTAGTGATTCGCTTGCACGTGGTGCCTGCCTGCCTGCCCGCCAGCCCGTGCGGAGTGTATGCTGACACCGGTATTTGCTGCAGATGCGTTCAAGATGATCGATGTGGACGGCAACGAGTATATCGATCGGTTTGAGCTTCAGCTCTTGGTCGATGCCGTCTATCGAGCCATGGAGGCTGTGGACATCAAGCTACCCGACGACTCCAAGACGTTTGCCGATAAGATCATCCTTCTCATGGCGGACGTCTCCGGCAAGATAACGCTGCAGCAGTACAAGTCCTGCGTCAGCAAGAACACGCTCTTCTTCCAGAGCCTCGGCCTTATTTTCGATACCGGTACGTGTGTGTCTCTACATGTTCCTGACACCGCACGCGCCACACATGTGCGCACGACATCGCACGCAGGTATTTAATGGCATTCTTTGGTTGCAGATACGGAGTTCGAGTTCCTGAAGACGCTGTCAAGTCGACCAAAGAAGGAGCTCTCCATCACTTTCGGTCACAAGGATTGGAGCATGGTGCAGAACATGATGCTCGGCATCCGTCGATCGGTACACTATTCATCACTCCTGCTGTGCTGCGCCGCAACAAACCGCAAATTGATCAACACATCGTACGGTGGTGTAACGTTTCGCGCAGGTTTCGGAGACGACAGCCCTTCCTGCACGAGAGGTTACCAGCAGGGACAGCGAACTGGCAGTAGAGTACAAGCTAGCGCAGTACGCTCCACGCATACCAGAGCTGCTGTGCGCGGGCTTCACGGGAACTCAACTTTCTTCTCTCTCTCCCGTCGTCAGTGAACCCGGCACGCCGCCATGGATCTTCAAGGACTACTGCCCGATGGTCTTCCGAAAGATTCGCGAAACCTTTGACTGCGACGCGCGTCTGTACATGGTACGCTCCAAGCGTCACAAGACCTGCACAGATCAGAGACGAGCGGCTCCATTGCCTCACCGCAACCCTGAATCGCTGCGTGTGCACACAGTTTTGTTTGGGTCCGGAGAAGATCTTGGGCAACGCCCTGTTCCTGGGCAACCTGTGCGCGTTGTGCGAGGTGGTGTCCACGGCGCGCAGTGGCTCGTTCTTTTTCAAGTCCAACGACGGTCGGTTCTTCATCAAGACCCTTCCGCCGGACGAGTTCCTCTTCCTCCAGCGAATCCTCCCCAGCTATTACGAGGTGCGTACCTCACCTCTCTCTCTCTCTCTCTCTCTCTCGCAATTGAAAACTGCTCAACCTCTCGTAACTCGTAACTCGTAACTGACCGATCGGCATCACCTCATCAGTATATCGCCAGCAATCCGAACACCCTGTTGACTCGGTTCTATGGCATGTATTCCATGCGCCAGGTACGGTTCTTCACCGCCACCACTTTACCACGTAAACGTCACTCGGAGAATAACGGCAGTGCTGATCGACTCTTGCAGGGCAAAAACTCGGAGATCAATTTTGTGGTGATGGAGAACGTGTTCCATCCCGAGGTGCCGATCGACGAGCAGTATGACCTCAAGGTGTGTCTCTCCTCTCTGTGCTCCCCAGCGACATTCTGGTGTGCTCGGCCAAGATCCAAAGAATGCATTGATGGTAACACTCTGCGCCCAGGGATCGACGATCGACCGATTGGTGGCGGTGGAAGAGGGCAAGTTCAACCCCTCAATCGCGCTCAAGGACATGAATTTCAAGCGGCAGCTCAAGATCGGAGGGTCGTTGAAGGCGCTGCTGATGGAACAGGTGGAGAAGGACACACGGGTATGGAGCCTTGTCCCCTTCTTCTTCTTCTTCTTCTTCATGACGCCACCAGAAAACAAAACAAACTGACCACACTCACCCCCCCCCTTCAGTGGATGGCCAATCTGAACATATGCGATTACAGTTTTCTGGTGGGAATCCACTCGCTGGCGAGCGACGACTCAATGGTCGTCCAGTCTCCCGCCACGCGACGGTAATCTCTCCCTTCTTGCTGAATACCCAGAGCTCTTGGCGGTGGTGCTGATGTTGATGGCGGCGTGCAGGAAACTCAACACGGATCCATCGGCGTTCAAAAGCTTCATGGGCGGCGTGCTGTCGGCGGACGGGGAGGAGATCTACTACATCGCCATCATCGACATACTCACCCAATACGTCTTCAAGAAGAAGGGCGAGCGCTTGCTCAAGTCTTTCATCCACGATGCCGTACGCTCCCCCTTGCTTGATCTCGTGTGTGCGTGGTGTGGCTATGTAACCGACTCTGTCTCTCGGCAGGATCAAATATCGGCGATGCCTCCCAAACCCTACCAGCTGCGCTTCCAAAAGTATGTAAATAGCATCGTCGCCTGATGCTCAACGCCGACACGCACGAGAAGGAGGAGGCAGAGGAGCTCGTTGGAATGTACAAATACCCACGGCATAAACACAAGCAAAATCTGGTACTACTGGTGGTAACTCGTCTGAAGATACTGAATGGCGCGAGGCGCACACGACAGAGAGCAATGATAGGGAGCCAAGGCTGCGATGGGTCCAGAGAGTGTAAACTGATGGATACGGCCATACTGCGCAGAAAGCACCGCTTCCCATCCGAACAGCGAAGTTAAGCTGCGCCAGGCGGTGTTAGTACTGGGGTGGGCGACCACCCGGGAATCCACCGTGCCGTATCCTCCTTTTTACTTTCGCCATGCACGTCGAGGTGCTCAAGGTCTTTGTACCCACCAACGACGGCTATGTTAAAGGCGGGTGCAGTGGCAGTAAAATGCGAGAGACCACCTCGTCTGGAGCCGGTCAACCTCTCCATTTCAGCACGATCCCCACCCTCAGCCGGCTAGAACGTTCGACCGAACTGAAGATCACTGATCACAGGGTTTTGAATTTGAACAAATAGGAAAAAGAGCTGGATAAAGGAGCACCTGCATTAGACCGATAATTCGGCCTCTTCCAGCTTCATGGCTGCCCACCGAGCGGGGGAGAAATCAACCCACATGCCGACGGGTCCTTATAAATACAACCCATGGCGCACAACTCCATCACGCTCCTCATTCATCATCCACTGCTCCTCGCCTCGCCGCAACTTCGCCAACGCCAACCACATCACAATGTACTTCACCACCTTTGGCCAACGTTCATGTGGCCTAGCTCACCACATATGTCTTGTCCCGTACACAGGAAGAAGATCTTTGCTCTGCTCGTTCTTGCTTGCCTTGTGGCCGCCGCTCTGGGCGACGCGGCGAATACCGTCGTCAGCTCTGGTAACGTCGTAACCGCTCCCGTTTCCACAGTCAACACCGGTATATCTGCCT